TAACTAGAACCCATCTTGTGTTCTTCTCCCTGGCTTGTTTAGCCTAAAGGTTAAATTTAGTTTAGTGCCTTTTTACAGCTACCCTGTGACTTGAGTGCACATATCAACATTGATGGTGCTTGTTTGTATTTGCAATATATGTAGCCATTTCATATATGTTTATATAAAAACATAAAATGGTTTGGGTTGGAAGGGAACTCAAAGATCATCTCATTCCAACCTCCCTGCCATTGGCAGGGACACCTTCCCCTAGACCAGGCTGCTCAACAGCCCCATCCAACCTGCCTCAAATGCTTCCAGGGAATGGGGCATTCACAACCTGTCTGGGCAACCTGCTCCAGTGCCTCAGCAAGCTCACAGCAAGGAATTTTTCCTAATATTTAATCTAAACCTACTTCCTTTCAGTTTGAAGCCATTCCCATCTGTCCTGTCACTACATGTTCTTGTAAATAGTTTCTTTTCATAATAGGGAACATCACATTTATAGATCAGATATTAAAAGGAGATGGTTAACAGCAGCCAGTCCTCATCTCAGTCGATGTGTTTGCCCTTTCTGTGGTTTGTCACCATGCTTGTGTGTCCCACAGTTTGTACAGGTCACTTTAGGAAGACAGATCTGTTTAAATAGTTTTAAGTTGGTGCCTTGCACAGGCCTTGCTGCTCTGTGCTTTGGAGTAAATCTCAGGTTGGTTCTGCTGGTGGATGGGAGTGGCAGCTGGCAGCCTGAGCTGAAGAGCTGTGGGGGCTCAGGAGCCCCTCCTGGGTAGAGTTGGCTCTGCCAGACATCCTTGGGCTGACCCAGCAGCTCCTCCAACCCTGGGCTGCTCACCCTCTTCTCAGGATCTATGAGATTGGAAAAGACCTCTGAGATCATTGAGTCCAAGCTATTGTTACATTGTCCACTCTGCAACTCACCTGCACTGCCAAGTGCAGTTTATTTCCCCTGTTCTTGTTACTGTAAAGGCTTGGTCCTGCCTGGGTTTAAGCTGGCAGTGAGCTGCTGTTTCTCTGGGCTGTCCAGGTGTGGTATCAGGAAGCCCAGCAGGTCCAGCCAGTGCTGGGAACACAGTGAGCAGGGAGGGGCTGTGTCCCAGCCACCTGCTGGGCCATTCTGGTGCCAGTGAGCTGCTGGTGTGCGCCTGGGTGTCACTTACCCACAGCACTCTGACGCTGTGGCCAGCAACGCACAGGAGTTAAATATAACGGTTCCTGCTGTCACCCAGCCCCTGATGTTATCCAGCCATGGGATAATCTGCCAAGGTCCTTCTCCAGCCTTCACAGGGTGGTTCTGCTGCTGCTGAATCCCTGCAGAGATTGCGAAGCCCAGTGGAATGTTGCTGTTGGGATTCAAACTTGTTTAGATTCAAAACATTCACAACAGTTCTTAAAGCTGGGAGGAGCTTTGCTTGTGGGAGGGTGTTGGGTTATTAATCCTCCTTTATTCCCCTGTCTGAATTCAAGTTCTGTCCCTCAAAAGCCACATTTTAAAGGCTGGGGCAGAATGGTCCCAGTTAGAGCCATTCCCCAGTCAGTTCTTGGTTTCACAAATGCATATTGGGGTCATTTTTTCAGCTGTCTCACACCTTCTGGAAGCAGATCTACTGTTAGTTCTTGCTGAGAACTTATAAAATGATTTGCTGTTTGCAAAGATGATCCCCTCTAAATGGAAGTCATATGTGAAATATTAAATGCAAAATCTGGAGGCTTCAAGCATGTGGTAATTGCCTTTTAAACTCAGATGCCTCACTGTAAAGGGTCTTATCGCTGCCTTTCAGCTACTTATTTCTTGGAAGGATCATGTTCTTCTTGGTAAGGAATGATTTAGTTTTGCTCCCCTTCAAGTCAGGAGCAAGCTCTTAATTAAACCAGACTTACAGTCTAAAGTATTTCTTAGAAACCAGAGGAATGTATTTGGCTGAGTCTTTGCAGATCTCAGCTTTTTTTTCAGAGTTTCTTCAAAGAAATTACCAATGGTCCATCTGTTGCTTTCTTTTCATGTTCATGGGTGTTTTTGGAGGAGGGTGGTCTGGCTGAATTGTGATTTTTGTGATAAATAATTACAGTTTATTTCTTACTTTTAGTTCAATTGGAAGTAGGTCTTGTTTGGATGCTAACTCAGGGATATTAAACCAGGACAAATTCCAGAAATAACTTCTGAAAAGAGGACTTGGGTCTCTAGGTATATACAGTGTTAGACCAGATTTGACATCTAATGTTGCTAATATATTATATTCTGTTGGCAGGTAGAAATGCTTCCTGATTGTCCCAGTGACAGTTAGAAAGGATTCTTTTATGAAAACAGGCCTTTCAGTTATTTTTTATCTGATCAACATAGAAAAGAAGATAAACACATATTTCGCCTCAATAACAGTTTGTTCCTTAATAAAAAAAAATAAATTATTTGCAGCAGCCTTCAAAAGGATATAACCACTTCTCATCTGTGTTTCTTTCCTTAGTAGGGGAAGCAGGTGTGCAGGCAAATATCTGCACATACAGATGTGTATGCCATCAGAGAAGTCTCCCTCTTTTCAGATGGCACAGTTCACAGTCTGAAAAAAAGAATTAGTGTTCAGACAATGTTGTGGATAAAGCACATGTGGCTCTTGATGTGCAGAGAGCCTGTGTCCTTGAAATAAAGCTTAAGGCTGTGAGGAACAAAGAGCTCCAGAGCAGGAGGAGGACAGCAATTACTGTTCTGCCTCTAAACAAATACTGTTAGAGCTGTCTGGCCTCACTCTTGCCTGGGCTGTTAAAATTCCTATTCCAGCTATTGCTCAGAAATCTGACTGAAGGAAAAACTGTCTTCCTCTTCCATGCTTCCCAGTGGGACATGAGACACTAAAATGCCTCGAGCAGAGCCTGATGTTGCCACTTATGTTGTGACAGCAGAGTTTAGATGCCTCCAGATCCCATTCCTTTGTGGAGGCCCAGTGGGATGGTGTCCTTCTGAGCCCTGCCCATGGACACCATCTGTCTCCAGAGCTGCTGGAGTGCCATTGCCAGGAGCAGTGTGGCACCACCATGGGTTATGGCTGTGGCACCGCCACAGGTCATGGCTGTGGCACCACCATGGGTTATGGCTGTGGCACCACCATGGGTCGTGGTTGTGGCAATGGAGAGCTGTGGTGGACAAGGGGGGGAACTGTTGTAGACCCCACACAACAAGGGGCGTAGTGGGACACTGTGCCTTTAGTTCTCGTGGATAACCTCCATCCATGGACAGGGCCTGGGCATGGCCTGAGATGGCCGTGGTTCAACTTGAATTTTCAGCCCTGCTTTTAGGACACAATGTGATAACCCAGCTGCCTCAAACCCAGGCTGGGACTGTGAAACAGCAGCCACGGGTTATGGCTGCCCCTGCTCCTTGAGGAAGGGGCTCTGTGCCCCCACAGGCTCGGAGGGCCGCGCTCTCCACGGTTCCCCTTCCCTGGGGCAGTGCCAGGGATCCATCCGAGGGATCCATCCCAGGGATCCATCCCAGGGATCCATCCCAGGGATCGGGCTCGGCCCCACGGTCGCAAGATGGCGGCGGAGGGGCGGTCACGAAATGGCGGCGGCGGCGCCTGAGGGCGCGCGGGTGCTGCCCCCTGCCCGCCTCCCGGCCCACAGCCGCGATCCCGGGATTTGTCCGGCCGGGTGCGGGACGGGCCGCGCTCCCTCCGGCCATCCCCACATGGTAACCCCTGGGGAGCCGGATGGAAATGTACATGTGCACATGCTTGCTTTGGGTTGTTTTTTTTTTTTTTTTTTTTTTTTTTTTTTTTTGGTATTTTTTTTTTTTAATTTTTCTTTGTTTTTTTTCTCCCTTGAATCATGAAATCTGAGCAAAGCCTTTCATGTGCTTTGTCACGTTTGTACAGAAGTAGAAAAAAAATTAAAAATTTGTTTAATTCCTCTGCAAAGTTTTCCTGACTCTTCTTTCATTAGTGTTATACTTAAGTGAATCTTTAAATATCACAAACACCTCCGGCTGCCAGTGGAAAGCTGACTGGGAAAAGGATGCAACTTGTTCCAAAATTTTGTGGCATCATCATTTTGTTTTTATTTGTGGCAGTGGGGTTTGAATGCTGTCTTGCCAGTGCATGTGTGTTAAGGTGTCCTGAGATTTCAGTTTGGTATTTTGGATCTTAAAATAAAAAATATATATGTTGGGAGTGATTGGGCAAAGGTATTTTAATATTTTGGCCACCTAAAATAGTTTGGCCTCTCATTGTTTTGTTGAGGAGCTTTTATTTAAGGGGATACTCTGAGTGTTAGCCCATTTTTATATAAAGATACAAAAAAAAAAGAAAAAAAAGCGGGGGAACTACGCCTACTTAGTGTTCTGCTCTCCCATTATTGGCTTGAGAAATGCAGCCTGCACAGCACTGGTGTAATCCTTTAAAGAGAAGCTGCCCCAGCCACAAGCCCATATAAGCTTCTTTCTTCTCTGTTGCTGAATTAATTATTTTTGCAAAAAACATAACATTTAGGATCATTCATGGTGTTATGGGCATAGTGTTTTTGATACTGGCCTCTTCCAGAAAGCGGATATCAGTTTTATTTGGAACCACTGGCCACACAGGGATGCAGTGGAGAGCCGTGCTGGAACAACTGCTCATCTTTAATGTAGCAGGATGGTCTGTGGATGCTGCAGCCCCTGCTGTGCCTTTCTCTGCCTCGCTCCAAGACTCCCAGACCCTCCCAGGAGAACCTGTGCTGCTGGTACTGCTGATGCTTCTCCTCACCTACCTCCACTGCCTTTGTTCCAGTGATGAGCAGGAGATCCTGGACAGGGATTTTTGGGGCTGCACTCTCACCTGTGTTCACTGCCAGTCCTGGGAAAGTATTCTCTCTGCTGCAGAATGCCAGTGTGGGATGTACACACAGGGTCCACACTTGCATTCAGGCTTTTCCAAACCTGTTGTTGTGGCTCAGGATGTGTCTCAGGTTTGCTCCCTGCGTATTTCACAGCTGTGTCAGTGCAGTTAAAATGTAACCTCTTCTTTCTCTACCATTAGTCACTCGGCATCCGAAGAAGCCTCTGGCTCTGACTCTGCAAGCCAGTCTGAAAGTGAGCAGGGCAGCGAGTCAAACAGCAGCTCCGAGTCCTCTGAGAGTCAGTCTGAATCCGAAAGTGAATCAACGGGTTCCAAATCCCAGCAGACCCCTCCTGAAACCAAAGAAAAACCAGCCTCTAAGAAGGAAAGGATAGCAGATGTTAAAAAGGTATTGCCCCTGCTGCTCTCCACGGACACATTACTCCTGTCCCCACCACGGAAGGTCAGGCAGCAGGACCTCAGTGAAGCTGTGCCCAGATTCCTGGCCACTTTGCACATGGACCAAACAGCCTGTGACCTCCAGTGTCCGCAGGGGCTGTTTGGGCTGTGTGCTGGAGCCCTGCTGCTGTTACCTGGAGAGCAGGAGCTGCTGTGTTTGTGGAACAACCCCTGGGGCACCAAGTAGATGGTGGCAGGGCTGACTGGTGCCAATGAGGGGCAGGTGCCTGTCATCAGTACATGATCCTGTCATTTCATCCTCTCCCTCTGTCTTTCCACTCCTCTGTTCTGTCTCTCCTCAGAAGCAGTAAAGCCTTCCCCGTGTGATAAATACGCAGGAAGAAGGTTTGAAGTTTGTCTAGGGTTTGAAGTTTGAACCACTTTGGGTTTTTACATCACTCTTCCTCTCAAAAAAACATAGGAGAAAAAAAAAAAGAACTTCTATTATTTATTAAGTCCAGAACAGGACAGTGCTTCTTTGTTGTGTTTTTTTTGTTTTGTTTTTTTTTCCCCCCAGCTCCTCCCCTCAAATAGTCAGGTTTTCCCTCCACCTACTGTCCAGCAGGAAAGGGAATTGTGGGTGTTACTGCTCATGGTGTCCCTCTGCACACCCCAGGGCAGAAGGGTGTGCAGGGGGATACCATGAGCAGTATCCCTCAGGTACCTGCTTTACCCTGAGAGATGGAGGCACCTGACGAACACAGGGCAGTGTGAGGTGAGAAAGAGGAGCCCAAATACCATTTGGAGACAAGAACTCAGTGAACTGAGTTCACTTGGAAGGAGAAAAGTCTGGTTAGGTCAGCTTTGTTTGTTTGTTTGTGGTGTGTAACCATCCTGTTGTTCTTAGCCGTGGGTTGCACTGGGCACAGCTTGCTCCTCAGAGTGAGTTTTATGGAGAAAGGTGCTGTGTGTGTAAAGGATAAGGAGGAAGGGCAGTGCTTCCAGCCTGTGCTCCCCACGGACCTGCCAGGAAGAAATAAAGGATTTTGTTACCACCTTCTCCCTCCCCAAAGCTCCAGGCTGCTGGCTCAGGTAGTGGTTAAATCCTCCAGTGTTTAGACTGGCAAGGGAGCATGAGTTTATAAGGCAGTTGTGGTAACACCATATTAAAATCTGTGGTCTATTGTTGATAAGTGGACACCAAAGGAAGTCTTCTCTCCCTCTGAAGAATTCTAAGAGCATATCCCTAACAATAAATGTTAACATTATCCTGTGAGGAAGTGCATCCATACCCAGGGTGATAATTAGCACGGGTGAAACATGAAAAGGTCAGGACACCCTTTAATAAGAAAGCCTCTCCCTTCCTTAATTTCTCTGTTAATGGGTGTCTTCCTTAGCTAGGTCTAACCTAGGCATGTTGATACATCTTCCCCTTGAATAACCAATGCAATTAATTATTATTGTTTATTTGGTATTTGCCTAGATACACCCATAAAGGCGAGGTTAATCTGTGCTATTAAGATTTGTCATGGAAGTTGCTCCCACATTCAAAACCCATGCCATTTAATAGATGAAAAAACAAGTTCTTCAAATGGTTTGGGGAGGGAGCATTAAATTTGAATTTGAGAGTTTATTCTTTCATGAGAATGTACCTCAGTGCTTGCATGCCCAACAGATACACATTGTCACAGTCTGTCCCTTATCCCATTACTGCTTTAACAGAGGCAGAAAAATTGCGGGGCTGCAGCCTCATATCCATCACACTCTCAATCCCATCACAGCATAGTTCGATTTCCTTTTCCTGCCAGTGGCATGCAGCGGTATTTGAGAATTGGAAGGAAAGAGAAGCAGAAGAAAATTAATGATATAGAGAATTAAGAGCTCTGCTGAGGGAGAGAGGAATTGCTGGTGTAGGAATTAGAGGGGCATGGTGGTGGTTTGTGTCTGCCCTATAACTCTTGTGTCCTGTGTCACCAACACAGCTCTGCATTCATCCCCCTCAGGGCATCCTTTTTTGTGTCCCCTTCTCCTGCCCATCCACAAGAACAATTGCATGCTCTTATACTCAGTGTATTGAACTGGTGAGGGCCTCGTTTTACAGCAAAGAGCACAACCATTGCCAGCAGTCACCTCTGCGCATCCATGTGTCCTGCACTGCCAAACCACATTCCCATCAGTGCATTCAGGAGAGGAACCAGCAGCCACTGCCTTGCCTTGCCAAATGACAGGGTATCTTGCTCCATTTGCCATCCAGGCTGGGCCACAGAATTCACCTTTGAAGCTGCAGCTGGCCGTGTCTCCAGGCTGGTGGTGGGGCTTTCCACAGGAAAGGAATTGTGTTGGAAGCTGTTAGTGACAGAGAGTTGCCCTGCTGAGTTGTTAGGTCTGTCCATTCCACATCCAAGGTGTTGCCTCCATTCCTTTGGCACCAGTGCTGCAGAGGGCTGGTTACCTCAACACTCTGTCCTTCAGCCTGTGTGAGCTGGAGAGTGATTTGTGTCTCAGTGGAAAGATGGACCACTGTAAAGATAACACAGAGATAACACATGCCGCTTTAGAAAGGTGTCAAATATCCCAAAAGAATAATAATAATCTTTCCAGCCAGTTTTTTACTGGTTGCTAATTCCCTAATGGTTTTTGGTTGATTTTTTTTTAAGCCACCATCAAGCTTCTCTAAAATGTCAAAAATAATTGGGGTGAAGCAGGCCTTCTGATGGTCTGTTTATTTTGCAGATGTGGGAAGAATATCCTGATGTTTATGGGGTTAGGAGGTCAAACCGAAGCAGACAAGAACCGTCACGATTTAATATAAAAGATGAGGTAAGGAAAAAAAAAAGGATGAGGGATTACTGAACATATAAAACCAACCAAGCACAAAGAGGAAAGGGAGGTCTCAACTGCATTGCCTTGTAAACACTGAGTCCCAGTTTGGTGCATGGATGTTGGATCTCACAGATCCTGCAGCTGGATCCTTGGCCTGAGACCTCTGGAGTGAGCTGGACGCTGCCTGGGCTGACATCTGCATGCACTGATCTGATTGCTGCAGTGGGGCATAATGCAAGTCTGCTCTGCTGTAGGAATATCCTGGAGAGGAGTCTGTGTAATTAAAAAAACAGAATGAGACCAAAATGCAACACAAATCCAACCAGGAATAAAAGAAAGTTCCCAGAAACACCTCATAGCAACAAAACAGTCATTATTGCCCGTCCTGGAATGGATCCCACTAATAAATGCATTTGTGTGTGTGCAGCTTTATGACCCATCACTTTTCTTTGGTTGAACACTGGGGAGTCTTTTATGCTTCAGCTGAAGGTGACAGTGGTCAGAGCCTGGCAGCCAAACCTTCCAATTGTTCCTGTTTCAGAACACTGTTGGGTTTTTTCTGAAGATGCAGAAATCGGGTTCCGCCTTCATTTACATCTGACAGGTTTTCTACATGGAGCATTTCACCTGCAGGTCTGCAGGAAGGTCGAGTAGCTATAGCACAGGGGAAGGAGAAGCAGAGAGAGGCATCTGTGGGGAGCTTGGGGCTGGGCATCTGGAGGTAAACAGCAGACTTTGAGCAGAGCAGGGGCCCAGTGGTGCTGTGTGACTCAGGCTGTGCTTTGCCACCAAGATGTGTTCGGATGCTCTAGAGGTGACACGTAGGTCTCCAGCTCCTTGCTCTGGTGTGTTATTGCTGAGCCTTGGTGGCACCCCAGTGCCACCAGCTGCCCCCCAGACTCCTGTGCTGGCTGTCCCGCAGAGCAGAGCTCAGGAGGGGGCTCAGGGTGCTCCATTGACGTAGCTTTTGTTTTCCTTTTCAAGTTGGCAGAGGCTGGGCCCCTCTGTGCGATGCCCCGGCATGCACTGTGCCAGCAACCTCACACCCACCCCTGAGTTCCGCTCACCCCCTCTTAGGGGCCCAGGTAAGTCCCTTCTTTTTTTGTTTTACAATATTAAGTGGTTTTGCAAATGTTGTTTTCTTTTTCAATACCTTTATTTCCTACTACTTAAGGTAAAATTAAAAAAAAATAGAAATCTGAGATGTGAAAACTTTGCTATACCACAAAATATTGTAAAAAACAAAAAAAAAAATTCCCAAAGGTCCTTCAAATGACCCTCATCACTGCAACTTCTGTGAAACAGCTGAAATTAAAAAAAATTGGAGCATGCCCTCACCCCTCTCTCCCCAGAGCAACACTGTCTGGTCCCCACAGGGCAGCTCCCATCTGCAGCAGTCTGTTGGAGGGTGTGACCTGTCAGGAGCACAGTGCTGGGGCCTCGCAGAGAGCAGGAGGAGATGGAAAGCCTTGCTTTTGGAAGACACCAAGAGAGAGGAGATAGCATAGTTCAAGCTTGTGTGGTGCTGAGCACTCCTTGCTGCTGCTGGAGGGGGCAGAAACCCAAGGCACATCTGAAGATGCTTTTTGCCTTCACAGGGTTAATCCTGTCTCCAGTGACCTGCACCTCTTGCTTGCTGCTTGGGACTTCCAGCACAGTGTGTGGGGGCTTGTAATTGCCCTCTTCTTTAATGCTTCTCAAAGAGCATGGTGCAGGCAGTGTGTGAGGCTCAGAGACCAGAGCAAGGGTGGATGAACTATCCCCTGTGCTGCCCTGTGATTCACCTGCACAGAGGTGGAGGTGATTCAGGTTTTGGGGCCCTGCTCAATCACTGTGTCCTCTGAGAGCAGCACTCTGGGTAGGGTTATTTGTGTGTTAGACATGGTTACCTTCTGAGGATTTCTGGGTTCCTTGTGCAGGTGTCTGAGGGGTGATCAGGGAGGGTGATAACTCGTGATCAATATCCAGGCATCGTTTGAGCCACTGGGGAAGCGAAAGTGCAGCTTTGCATAGGAGCACAGATCTGCTCAGAAGCCCAGAGCTGTCTCCAGGAACAAGAGAAGGTGTGAGTTTTTTAGTAAAAACACTACTTCCCCAGGCATTTTCTTTGCAGTTCACAAATCAGCTTCAGGTTGCAGCCAGGGGATGTGAGGTGTGCAGGACCAGGTGCCTTTCAGAGTATTTAAATTCAATTGGGGGAGATTTAGGTTAGATATATATAGGAAATTCTGCCCTGTGAGGGTGGTGAGACTCTGACACAGGGTGCCCACTTCCACATTTCTGAAAGTGTCCAAGGCCAGGTTGGATGGGGCTCTGAGCAACCTGATCAAGTGGAAGGTGTCCCTGCCCATGGTGGGAGTTGGAACTGAATGACCTTTAAGATCCCTTCCAACTCAAATCTTTTTATCATTCCATGATTCTGTGATTATGGGCTGGTTGAGAAATCAATGTGCCCCAACCAGACACAGTCTTTTTACTATAAAAAGAATAGTTTCAGATTGAAATTGGTGACAAATGTCAGCGTATCTTTTTCTGTCAGAGAGAGGCCAGAAGTCACGCACCAGTGTGTTCTAAAAATACAGCTGGTTTTCTTATTGGAAAAAAATCTGCTCGTTTGCATTTTGGTCAATGCTTTGCCTCATGTATTTGCTGAAAATTCAAACACTACTGGTCTCACTGGGAAAGAAGCTCAGCAGACATAAAACTAACCTGGTTAGCTTAGATTCTCTAGCTTTTCTTCTTCCAGTTTGGCCTCTGTTAAGCCTGCAATGAGCAAATTCTCACTTTTACTTTAGTTTAAAATACTTTTGGCTCTGTTTAAGCAAGTCATTATCTTTCCTAGTATGAGCTCCAGAGGCTCACCTGGACCTCCTCTCCAATGGCCTGGAATTTCCATTTCTCCCAGCTTGGGCTAGTGGCAAGGACACTCCTGGATAATTTATAGGAGCAGAACTTTGAATTGCTCTGTGTTGTTCTGCTTGGTGCTGCATGCAAACATCATTATGTTTGTTCAGTGTTGCTCCATGGCAAAATACAGTGCAATTAATCTGGTAAAAGTGTGTGCACTTTATGTGCTGGGAAAGAATTGATGGGAGGAGTCAGTGAGGCATGGAGAGGGAAGGCTGATCCCTTCAGCTGGAGATGAGGAAATGGTAAGAGGCCAGATCCTAGTCCAGTGGTGCAGGAATAAGTTGGGCACATTTTGATAAGGGGGAGCAGGTTTGTCTTTCCCCTTGGCCACAGCAGCAGCACCCAGCAGGGCAGCACTGGCACTTGGGCTCTGGAGCAAGCAGTGTGACCCCAGCATCTTGTGCTGGGCTGACAAAAACCCCACTGGGACTGGGGATGGACTTTGCCAGTCTAGCTTGTGTCATTCGGGGAGGTGACATTACAAAAATTCAAGTTGCAATGTGATTTCCCAACCAGTGTGTTCTGGTGCTGGTGGTGGGCAGACAGAGCCTCAGTGGCATGCTCTGTACCTGGCATAGCCTGGCTCTCTGGCTGTCCTCTGTGCTTTTAAACAAGGAATTTACTCCATTCTGGGATGGGGAGGATGTGGGAGCACAAGGCAGGCAGATGACTCAAGCTGGGGACTGGCTGTGTCAGAGGAGATAGGGTTGGACTTGACACATCCAAAACAGACAATGCTGTCTTTGAAATATGTAAGAGAAGGTTTCTGAGTGCAGTCACAAGTTACATTTTTCAAGGTGGAAGAGGGGAGGAAAAGTCAAGTCATTTAGAGGTAATCACCAGCTTTGTAGAGACAAGTGACAGAGCAGGGGGAGAGTCCAGACATTAGAAATGAGAAACTTGGAAAATGGCATTTTGGCACAACAGTGGAGTTAATTTCAAAGAGCTAAAGGTTGTATTTGGTTTTCTCCCAGTGTGATCTCTGACGCAGAGCTGAAGAGAAATCCACCTCTCTTTACCTGTGGCTTGCCAAAAGACAGCAAAAGTAAACGTGCCCTCAGGGGCAGCTGTTAAAACCATGCCCAGTGATTCGAGTGGAAAAGCTTCAGAAAGTGGATAAGAGATTAAAAGAGAAAAGGAAAACAGGACTTTTAAATTTTGTGTATCAAAACTGAAACCTGTGGAATGCTTGGCTTGTGTTGCAAGGGTGGGTAGGGCTCTCCATGGTGTTTGCCAGGCACTTGCTTCATGGCTGGTAAATGAGACAGGGATTTCATGCAGGGCTGTGAAACAGGTGGATGAACACGTGTTTGTAGTAAGATATTGTGCAAAAGCTGTTATTGTGCCACATGCAACTCTGACACCACATCCAGGAAAGCTCGTGGTCAGACGTGGCATCCAGTATTTTAGTGAATACACTGATGCAAGTGAGGCAGAAGTTTCTGTGAGTGGAAGGAATGCTGGAAAATGGGAATGAAGGGTGCGTGTTACAGCTCACACCATTCCTCAATGTGTGCACAGCTGTGTGAGCTCTGTCCAGGAGGGCAGTGGGGCTGTCAGGGGATGCAAACTGTGCTACCCATAGTGATGGACAGACAGTGCCTGGAGCCAAAGCTGAATACTGTGGCAAAAAGCAGCCAGAAGTGGAAGATTTCCAGTATGTGTGTGGAACAAGTAATCTTGGAGGCTACTTCTGTCATTTTAATACTTCTTTAGAAATCTCACGTGGGTTTCTTCAGTTTTGTCCCTGCCTATTTGTGTTTTCTGGGGGAGGCTAAGGAGAAGTCACGTTATCTGGGTGGTGATCTGTTTTCATGGTTGACTAGTTTTTATGAAAATGGGGTTGTGTGCAACCAGCATAAAGAGATTATTTTAGCTATCCTGGTCTGTGGGAATTCGTGACGCCCACTTTTAGAATAGTACAGCAAGCAGTCAGAATAGCTCTAGATATATTTAGCTAAAGAGAATTCACTGGTGGAGACTGTAGAACTGGGAGGAAGGAAAGCAGCAGGACACAGCTCTGACACAGTGAGGTCCTTGGTGACTTGCTGTGGGAGAAAAAACCCAACAGCAAGAAAAGGATAATTCTGATGAGATTATTGCCTTTTTACAACATTTTTATTTCATTCCTTGTAGGAAGTTTGTGCAATGAAGGCAGAGATCACAATGCAGTTGTTGGGATAAATTCACCCGTGGGTTTGCAGTCCCTGGGGTGTTGCACACGCTGCGGGTCTGCCTGATGCCATGCTGTCTGTTGGGCACTGGGGGCTGGTGCTGGGGGATGGATGGCTCCTGAGCTCAGGCACTTCCAGATGGGTGATGTTGTGGCGCTCTCCAGGATTCCTGCAGGGTTTTCTTCTTCACACTGAGAGCAGAGCAGCAGGGCTGAGCAGCTGAGGTGGCTGTGCTGGGAGGCAGCTGCTCTGCACCAGTGTCCTTCAGGCTGCAGGGAAAGCACCCACCAGCACATGTTTCACTTGCATCCTTGAGGAGCCAGCCCACAGTGAAGCCTACAACTTGATTTTCTTTCTTTTCAATTAAAGGCAAGTAGCGAGTCTGAAAATGAGAGCCCAAAAAGAAGACGCCAGAAGCAGTTGAAAAGAAAGTAAGTTTCTAGGGAAAGGGTCTTGAGTGGTGATGCTTTGGTTTATTTCTCAGAACAGTAGTGCATTGGATTGTTTGATGGGAGTTGTCAACATGGTGAGCTTGTAAAATAAATATTTTAATAATACTTTGGATTACTTAAAATATTAAAATTCATTAAAATATGAATCTATATGTGGATGCAATTTCCAACCCTTGTTTGTACGTTCCTGCTGTGCCTGTGGTGGAATCTGAATGAGTCAGGTTCACTTTCTGTTGTCAGTCTTTCACTTTTCCATCAGATTACTGATTCTCCTTCAGAGACACTTAAAACAGTTTAATGCCTTCTCCTCCCACCTTTTTGATTAACTGAGAATAAAATACCAAATTATTATCTTCTTTTATCTTTTATAACCCCCTGTTAAAACAAAAGAACTTCCATAAAGAATGCTTTGGATGTCTAAGCACCATAACTTGAGTTCACTTGCAGTCATATTTTACTGCCTTTCCTATCTAATAAGTACCTTCTAGTTTTTCTATACACTAAAGTGGAGTAGGGAACTATGAGCTGCCTGATGGAGAAAATCTAAACAAAGACATCATCCTGCTTGCTTTCTCCTGCATCTTCTATTTTAAACCTTCATCAGTGCAGGAAGGAGGGTGATGAAGCACAGGGAGGACTGTGGTAGTATGGACCTCTCCTGGGCAAGGGCAGTGATCCTTGTGGAGCCTCCATGTATTCTTGGAGAGGCTCCTCCAAAAGTCATTTTGGAGCTGCAGCTTGTTCCTAGTTGCCCCCAGAGAATGTTTCTTTCCACCAATGTACAGTGTGACTTGGCTTCACACTTGGAAACTTGAATTGGCAGGAGAATTTCCATGGCCAGGAGCCTCGTTCCATTTTCTGGGCTCCAAGGAGCTCATGTAACTCTGCACATTGTGGCTCATGCTCTGTGACAGTGAGCACTTCTCTTCAGATCCTTCCAGCCCCTCTCAAAAAATGCAGAAGTAGAGGAAAAAATAATCATCAATCAAAGGCCTTGCCCACCCAGGTTTGAGCAGTACAGCTCTGCCACCAGCACGTGTGGTAAGAGCTGCTCTCACTCAGGGCAATTCTGCCACTGTGTGAGCAAAGCCCCAGGTGACTGAGATCCCCTCCTAAAAGCAGAGAATCACAACACAACATCCCCCCTGCACATCACTGAACAGCCAAGGATAGAATTTTGAACGTTTTTCCTGTAATTATGGACCTGATGGTTTGCTCAGCCACGTATTTGTGTAGAAATATTTTTGCCCTTCATGACCTACGTTTCTGACCACAGAATTAAATGGAAAAGAGAGGTGTCTGCTGGAGAAGAGGATGAAGATGGAGGGGAGCAAGGCACCAGTGGAGAGAGTGAGCCTGAGCCGAAGAAAATTAAAGCAAGAAGACCTGTCCAGAGGAGGTAAGGAATGGTTGGTTCAGTCTCTTTTTCTACCTGTGCTGTGTGGAGAGGAAATCCCTATTTGTCACTAATGAATTTTCCCTGCAATATTACCTTTGTTTGTGACCTAATAAATCCATGGCCTAGTTATTCCCTCATCTCCCCATCTCATGCTCCAGTGAGCACTGGAGTGGTTTTCATGATAGTTAGAGCAGATTAAATCCCTTAGGAGTCTAATATTTGAGATTAAGATTTGCTTCCCTAAAGACTTATTAAAGTGGATATTTACATAAACCATGCTGTATTATGGCTTTATCAACTCTTATTTTAGAACAGTGGCCAAAACTGGTGTTAAAAAGCCCCACAAAATCCAGCGTGGGAAGAGGAAGAAACCAGACTCGTCTGAAGATGACGACGATGACGAAGACGATGAGACCCCCAAGAGACAAACTCGGCGAAGAGCAGCCAAAAATGTCAGGTGTGAACAAGTGTGGGGTTGGTTTGGGGTGAGAGCTGACTGGGGAAGGGGCCCCTGACTCCTGTGGGGTCCTGCAGGGACCTGTGGCTGAGGTGTGGCTCTTTGGGCAGGTTCCTGCTGGGCACATCCAGGGTTGGTCTCATTTTGCTGTCTGTGAAAGAGGGAATGTTTACCAGTCCCTCCTTAGAGAAACATGAGGATGGTTGCATAATATTTCTAAAGCACTCTCAGATGAGATTGATAATGGCAAATGATAGATGAAAATGAGGAAAAGGGAGCAGCTGTGCTGGACTGGACCAATTGTCTGAGGGTAGCTGGGGACAGTGTGTTGAGCCAGGATGGAGTAAGCGTTTATCCATTCCCCCAATCTTCTCACCTTTCAGGCAGTCCCAATAAGGGACTTGCAAAGAGCCATCCACATGATATTTGGTGTTGGTTAAACATTCACCAAAGATGAGAAGTGCAGTCCCATGCAGCCTTTTGATGCTCTGCAACCTCCATAGAATAATCTTTCCCTCAGTAGTGGAGACCTTCTGTGTTATGGCCTTGCTTCTGCTGCAGGGATTGTTCCACCTTATGAATCACTTGATGTTGGCCATAATCAGAAAAGCCATCTGGGCAAGATAGAGGATTAGTCTGGTAAAGTGCAGCTGTCTGAGTGTCCTGGGGAAAAATACTGAATACTTAAGACGTGTGCTGAACATGCACTGAAGCACAGCATAAATGCTGGAGAAGCTGCTCCAGTCTGAGCCATTCTCTGTGTTGGTGGGCTTGGAAGAGTCAAAGGTTTTATATCAGTTTGGTTTTGATCTTACTCAGCTACAAAGAGGATGATGATTTTGAGACGGATTCTGATGACCTGATAGAGATGACTGGGGAAGGAGCTGATGAACAGCAAGACAACAGTGAAACTATTGAGAAAGTCTTGGACATCAGGCTTGGAAAAAAGGGAGGTGCGTGGCTCTGGAAGAAGCCTTTATTTCTCTTGAACCGGTGCAATGCTTTTGCAGCTTTAAAGTGGGGCAAAGGTTGTTTCAGTGCTTTTTGTCTTTTCCTCTATGCCTCTTAGTTACATCTTGTAATATGTAATAGCTTCTGTAACATATAATATTTAAAATCCTAAAATCTCTATAGTTTATGTGCTCAGCAGTTTTCATTTAGCCTGCACACATTTTAAAGATGCAGCCATTGTTCTGCAATTCCTGCTTTTCTCTGCTTTGAAATATAAAACAGATCTAAGAGAGTCAGTTTTCATAGTCCCATTGACAAAGCCATAATGAAAATAAAGCCAATGTTTTCTTCTCAAAGCCTTACAAAAGTGTTTTTTTGTAAAACTGAATGGTTGTGAACACTTTCAAGAGGCCTTTGAATTATACTTAAAGAAAAGCTGCTTGTGACAGATTTAAAAATATTCTGTTGTACGGAGAACTTTGGTGTGCCTGCCTTCTAGGTTTGCAGGATCTTTTGGGTGTTCTTGGTGCTCCCACAAAAGATGTATTAGAAGGGTAATGCAGCTGATGCCCAGTGGTGGGTCAGGAGGGTGCCAAGTGCAGGCTGGTGTCTCTTGCAGCCATCGGAGCTTCCACCACCGTGTACGTGACCGAGGCCAACGGGAACCCCAGCGCCGACTTCGACCCCGAGAAGGACGAGGGGGAGGTCCAGTACCTCATCAAGTGGAAGGGCTGGTCCTACATCCACAGCACGTGGGAGAGCGAGGAGTCCCTGCAGCAGCAGAAAGTGAAGGGCCTCAAAAAGCTGGAGAACTTCAAGAAAAAAGAGGAGGAGATCAAGCAATGGTAGGCTTCGCTTCAAGCAGTGATTCTGCCTTGGGCAAGTTGTGTTTAGCCTGAGGTTTGAGGAGTCATGACTGAAAATGTTTGATTTATTCTTACAAAGTGTGTTTCATGTGCAGTCTGGTCTCTCTTTGCCTGCTGAGGAACATCCCCCCACACAGAAATGATATTTGTGGTGTGGATGGCTGGAAAATGGAGAGGACAAGACCTGAAATCCACACTATTGCCACTTCCTAGCCTTAAGAATTGGGAAGGCTGATAACAAATAATGGGTGCACAGACTCACCTGGCCCAGGAGGTGCTGTGAGGGCTTGCAGCCTTTTTAACCCTTGTTAATTATGGACTTCTCTGTGTGCAAGAATTTGCATCAGGTCATGTCCAGCTTCCCCAGGAACTATAAGGGGAGCCACAGTGCCTTTCCAAAGTGCTAAAGCTGGAGTAGCAGCTTCCATCTCCATTTGATTCCTGTTTTGAGATTAATTTCTTGCATCAGAATAAGGCAGCATTTAACAGGGAGACAGTCTGAACATCTATGACATTTGCTTCTCAGCAATAATTTACAATTTTAGGAAATTTAAGAAACATGTCATGTAACAGTAATTTGCCCCTGTGACTTGTCTGAATGACAGAACCATACAGGAAAGTATATTTTCTATATGCAACATCCATGAGCACTATGACAGAAGCATTATAGTGTTTTGTTTTGAATTATTTTGCATCTAGGTTGGGCAAGGTATCACCTGAAGATGTGGAATATTTCAACTGCCAACAAGAGCTGGCTTCAGAGCTAAACAAACAGTATCAAATAGTGGAGAGGGTAATAGGTAAGTGGAGCCAAGGCTTTGGTAAAGGGGTGAAATAGGAATGGGAACTTCATTCCATGTGACAGCAGAATGAGTGTGCAGCTCTCTCTTCTTCCCTGTCCAGTATCCCTGAAGAAAGCCCCATGGTCTTTACTGTAATTCATTGTGTGAAATTTAGGAATTTGGACAGTAGAAATCCAGGTTTACAGATTTGTTTTTGTGCTTGCAAACAAGCAATACAAATCAGGGACTTTCCTTGCCTGGAGTATGGGATGACACACTAGTTTCCAACAGGTTGCTGAAATTGTTGCTGCTGAATTTCTTTGTCTCCAGCCTTTTGGATGCAGGATGTTTGTTTCCAAAGCAGCAGCACGGGCCTGGCTTTTGTGAGGTCTCTTTTCTGTGGTGTGGTTGAGGATGTGGTTAGGCTGCAAGGCAGCTCAGGGGCGAGATTTTCATGATTAATTAATAAAAATAAAACCAGAACTTACTGAGCACTTTAGTAATATCACAGCGATGTCAGTCAGAGGTGCCAATGCCCAGTTGCTTTGGGAATTGGCTTGGAGAGCTGTGTAAGCTATTTCCAGTACAATTACTGTAAAACCGTGGGTGTGAGGCAGTGGTGGCCTGCCCTGCTCCCTCTGCTGGCTGCCAGCATTCCAACCCTCCCTTCCCTTCTCTCTCCGAACACAGCTGTGAAGACCAGCAAGTCTGCCACGGGACATTCCGATTTCCCAGGTAAAGGCACATTTTTTTTGGTCTCTCTACACTTTTGCTATGAGCCAAGACCTGTTTTGTGGCTGCTGGGCAGTTCAGCCTGTGAACCATGCTTGTGGTTCAGCTGCTCAGCTACAGGTGCTGAAGTTTGGGCTTTTTTTTGCATATTTTTCAGCAAACAGTCGCAAAACATCCTCGAATGACCCTGAATACCTGTGCAAGTGGATGGGGCTGCCCTATGCCGAGTGCAGCTGGGAGGATGAGGCTCTGATCAGCAAGAAATTCCAGCACTGCATCGACAGCTTCAACAGCAGGAACAACTCCAAGACCATTCCCACCCGTGACTGCAAGGTTTGCTGGCTTCTCTCCTTTGCTGGGGGAAGATGCAAGCAGTGGGAGCATGAAGCTTTGTCAGGATAAATGTCAGAGAACATTTTTCCCATCCTCCCACCTGCGTTTGAAGGGTTGTTTGCTGTTCTTGTATTGCACTTCAAGCAGAGATGTGAAGCCCTTTGAGTTTCATTTACTCTGTGCGCAGTGAGAACGTTATGTCCCCCTGGGGAGTGGGAGGCTTAATTAATCCTTGCCAAGTGCTTCCTCCTCAGAAGGAGCTGCAGCAGCTTTAATATCAGTTGGATGAAAAAACAGCTCACCTGGGAAAAGAGGAAGCCTGCAAGATGCTGATACAGTGAAGGAGAGGGACAGAAATAATGGGAGAAAAACCAAAAGAGGACACAGAAGGAAGTGGAGCTTGTTCCGACTCCTGGGTATTTTGTGCAGCTTACTACACTCCTGGGGGACTCAGAGCCCTGATCATAAACCAGAGGGCAGCAGGCAAATCACCAGAAATGCAGACACAAGCACTGGCTAGGAAAATGTGGATGGAGGTGAAGTTCTCTTCACTCGAACCAGTGAATAGATACACACTCTTTGCTAAATTCATCAATTTCATTGCTGAATTTTCAGCCTTTCAACCACTGAGAGTTCTGTCTTTCTCTTCAGTGGACTTAAGGCAGGTTTTATTCCAGGTGCTGAAGCAGAGGCCGAGGTTTGTTGCCTTGAAGAAGCAGCCGTCGTACATCGGCGGGGAGAACCTGGAGCTGCGCGATTACCAGCTGGAGGGCCTCAACTGGCTGGCTCACTCCTGGTGCAAGTATGTGCACAGCCTGGCATGTTCATTCTGTGCCTTTTTGTCCCTGAAGGATTTAGTACACCTCCCTTTCAAGTGAGGTCTTTACCCACCTTCCTTCTGCAGCTTGGAGGATTTCAAATGTTATCATGCCCAGGTGCATTGCAGACACTGCAAGCAGGAGCTGCCTAAAGCATGAACTTCAGAAACCTTGTGTGAAAACAAAAAGCATTTTCCCTGTCTGGGCCTGTTCACATGATGGATTTGGCTGAGCCTGGTACATATAAGCCCTAGATTTCCATTGACTTAATGGGAAAAAATGGTTTCTGGCTCAGTGTGCTTATATACTCATTGAAATCTTTGAGAGATGTCCTTCTAAAATTAGGCCACTGATTCCCCTCTGCCTGTTTTCCTCCAGTTTGGAGTAATCAGTTAATTTTTGCACATTATTGTGCCATGTTCAGTCTGGCTGTCCCTGAGATCCACTTAGAAGTGTTCAAATTGCTGTTTTTGCACTGCCCCTCTCTGTCCTTGTTGTGGATTGCTGTTCATGTGGAGCATCAGTCAATTAGTAGTTATAGCTGTGCTGTGAGACCCAGCTAGGGGAGAGAGAAATGATTGCATCTGACTCCATCTCATCAGAAGGCTAATTAATTACTTTATTATGCTATATTATTCTATATTATTTTACATCTGAACTGAATCTGCCAAGCACTCAACTCTGCAGTCCACTGCACTGAATCTCATGACTGTCAGCCCACAGTCCTGACACACACACACTTGGCCCTGATAGGGCAAGGAAACAAAGTACCATCATTCTAGGTAAACAATCTCCATATTGCATTCTACTTTTGCACAAACACAGGCACAGGAAATGATAAGAATTATTTTTCCTTTCTCTGAGGTTCAGAGAACATGAATCCCAGAAATATTCTTGGCAAGAATTGTGCCTTGCTTTTCTCTGTGAAGAGAAATGAGGGGCTACAAATCTACAAATAGTGGCAGAAACATGCACTCAGACAGCATTTCTGTTTGTTCTCCTCTTCCTCAGGAACAACAGCGTGATCCTGGCTGATGAAATGGGACTGGGCAAGACCATTCAGACAATATCATTCCTGTCATACCTGTTCCATCAGCACCAGCTCTATGGCCCTTTCCTGGTGGTGGTGCCCCTGTCCACCCTCACCTCCTGGCAGAGGGAGTTTGAAGTGTGGGCACCCGAGATAAACGTGGTGGTTTACATTGGAGACCTCATGAGCAGGAACATGGTGTGTAATCAGAGAGCAAAGGGTGAGGGCTCAGGGAGAAGCACTGGGTGCACAGCAGCAGCTCGTGTGTGGTGTGTGTGGCACACAGGCAGCTGGAGAGGCTGGTGGATAGTGCTGGCAGCGTGCAGGCAGCTGGAGCTGGTGTGGCTGAGTGTGTGGGTGTAGCTCCCTGCTACAGGGAATTTTCTGCTTTATTTTGCCTCTTGGAGTGAGTGCAGGAGCACTGAGTTCTCTCAGAGCCAGCACTGATCTGGAGTGAAACATGGAGTGAGAAGTCCAGCAGTGTAAAATGCTTGTCTTCAGTGTTTGGGATTATTCAGACAATGGAACACACAAGTGTGGGGACTCCAGTGGTGTCTGCAGTGAGGTGATGTGTTCATTAATCACAACAACAAGTTAACCTTATTTTGTTAGCTGTGCAAGTTGAACCGTGCGCTCATTAAAACAAATTGTTCCTTGGGCACCTTGAGCTCATCAAATGGCACCTTAGAACAACAGGGGTTTGGACTTGGTTGGAGTCTCTGGCTTACAGCTACACTAAAGTAAAAACTGTTAATTGTTAACTCTTTCTTTTGATAACATGTGTTCAAGTTAACTTTGGTCTCCCCTCACAGATACGTGAATATGAGTGGATCCATTCTCAGTCTAAAAGATTGAAATTCAATGCACTTATCACAACCTACGAGATCCTCCTGAAGGATAAGGTGAGTCATTACTCCAAGAATGTTTTTATTTAGACTTTCTCTCATTTTCAAAGGAGAAAGCCAGTTCTCAGCTAGTGGGTTTCACCTCTTCCCTCTGTGGTGCTGGATAACTACAGCCACTATTTGCTTTTCCTTCCCCATTTTCATTTCCTTCTACATTTGCAAGAAAATGTGGGAATGTGGGACACATTTTGCAGTGTCATCACTCTTGTACTGCACAGTTGTGCTATTTTATTTTACATGTAAGACATCTGGCAGGATCCAGCAGTACCTGGATTTTTACCTGATTTAATTTAGGCTTGTTAAGAGGACAAAACATTAGACTGAACCTCTGGCCACAGTGTTAACAGTATTTACATTTTTACATCTACGAGAAATCTGTCTGCTTAGGAAATATGCATCATCCCTGTCAGTGTATCACTGAGTCCTACAAAAAACTGAAAGCTTAAAAAAAAAAAAAAAGAAAAAGAATTTAAATCAAAATTCTTGGATTATCTGAACTTTCTAGGCTTGTTCATCTGCTCTCCTGTTCTTGCTCCAGTGGGACCAGTGCTACCCAGGGCCCCAAGGGCATGGAGAAAGGGGAGAGTAAAGAGCTGAGGAAGGACTCTGCTTTCTGGGTAAAACAAAGGAGATTAGAATAGGTGTACTTGCTGCAGGACTATTGAGATACAGCAGGAGTGTTGTACAGCATGGATGATTTTCACCTTTTCCTTTCTGGGAAGGCACCCTGGTCCCCAAATTTTATTAGCAAGAAGATCCTGTGAGGGTGCAGCCATAGGGACACACACAGTGCAGGGCTTCCTGCCTTGGAGAGACACACATGTGCAAGGTGGTGGGGCCTGTCTGACCCAGCATCTCCCCAGCATCTGTGTTTTTTCCTTCTTTTCCTCCAGACTGTCTTGGGAAGCATTAACTGGGCCTTTCTGGGCGTGGACGAAGCCCATCGGCTGAAAAACGACGACTCCTTGCTCTACAAAACCTTGATTGATTTCAAGTCCAACCACAGGCTGCTGATCACTGGCACCCCCCTCCAGAACTCTCTCAAGGAGCTCTGGTCCCTGCTGCACTTCATCATGCCAGAGAAGTGAGTCTCCTTCCAGGCCTTCCAAGAAGTGTCTCTGTTCCATTCTTGTCTGTTAAGTAGGCTCAAGGGATGCAGGATGGCAGAAATCCCTGAATTAAACTCAGTGGTGTGACAGCAATGATGGGAGAAGAGACATTAGTGGGGAAAATCAAAGGTTAAATAACTAACATGAGGAGTATTTCTGGCAGCAAACTGAATGGGGAAACCTGATACATGCCTTTCAAATCTGTCTGCTGTCTTCCAGCCTTCTCTAAAAAGCTAAACTTGTTTGAAGCAATCATTTCAGCCATTTCTGAGCTTTCCAGTGCACTGTGGTTCAGGCACCTCTGCCAACCATTTCATGGCAGCTCTGGGGGTGCTGTCTGGCTGATTGTGTGTCCACAGTGTAACAAATGTTTTGTTTCCTTTAAAATAAAATGAGCTATGGGCATCTCTAAGGCTAAGGCAGGCAAACCCTCAAAGCTCGCTGAAATTATGTTTGACTGCAAGAAGAGCTGTCCCCCAAATTCTTTTTATTGGATGACATAAAAAGTGAAGAAGGGGCTTGAGGTTTCCCAAGTGGAGGAGTGCAGATCTCCACATTTCAAAGGAGCTGTCAGAGGAAGCAACAATCCCAAAAGAGCTTCAGAGCAGGGTAAATCAGTCCAGTTGTCAAAGCCATGCCTGGGGGGAAGGCATCGTGGAAAGTTCAGAAACTGCTGCCAGGTAAATGCCAACAGAGTGAAATAGTGGAAAACTTGGGATTTTGGGTTCTGGGAGCTCAAATATAAGATGTTAGGAAGGTGTCTAAGCCCAGAGATCTTCTAGCTTTGCCAGCAGTCTGTTCAGTTAACCAGAGCAGAGTGAATCTGTTATCTTCCACTGTGTTTCCATTAAAGTGCTGCTCTCCTGTTTGTGGTGCAGCAGGAGTGCATCCAACAGCTGCTGTTTGGTGCCATAAGACAAGAGGCATTCTGACACCTCCCTTCTCCTCCTTTCTGTTGCCAGGTTTGAGTTCTGGGAGGATTTTGAGGAGGATCACGGGAAAGGAAGGGAGAATGGCTACCAGAGCCTTCACAAAGTCCTGGAGCCATTCCTGCTGCGCAGGGTGAAGAAGGATGTGGAGAAATCCCTGCCAGCCAAAGTGGAGCAGATCCTGCGGGTGGAAATGTCTGCTCTGCAGAAGCAGTACTACAAGTGAGTCACTGAATGGGTTACTGGCAGTGCCAGTGGAAATGGGCACATCTCTCTGTGGGCATTGGCAGTGTGTTCCAGTGTTCTGTGCATCCTGTGGCCTTCAGAGTGCAGTGAGACACCATCACCTGTGGTACTGGGAGATTCCCAGCAGGAATATGAGGTAGAGGAGCTGATATCTTTCCTTCTGGAAGATGTTTTTGTAGAGTGATCCAGTTCAACTGGCCAGTTTTGCAAGACAGAGGTTATGTCTTTCCTGAGAGAGTGACAATATGCACAAAGTTGGGATGCTGTTCAATATTAAACAGTGATAATATCAATAGGAAAGTCAAGGTTTTTAGAGAGGAAATAGCATCCTCTAAGAGAAGTGTCTTCCAGAGATGGAGGCAGGGAAGTAGACTGATGCCTGAATGAGCTGTTCCTGAAGATTTTGTTCCTCCAAGGCTCTGCTCTGCAATGAGTAATGATGCCGACTTTAATTTTCCTGCCTGCAGGTGGATTTTGACAAGAAACTACAAAGCTCTTTCAAAGGGAACAAGGGGAAGCACATCTGGTTTCCTGAACATTGTGATGGAATTGAAAAAGTGCTGCAACCATTGCTACCTTATCAAACCTCCCGAGGAAAATGAGAGAGAGAATGGCCTTGAGACCCTGCAGGTGAGTGGTGTCCTTGGCCACCACCTCTTTTCCTTAAATTTCATTCTTTTGATAATATCTGGTGAAGCTTTATCTTCTGTGGCTTCTTCTTCAAAAATAGCTCTCACAGCTAAGCCATTTGAACCTCCAACCCTCCACTGCTACTGCAGGCAACATTTTATGGCCTTCTAGAGCAGGAGCTGTGGGCAGTGTACAATTTGTCTTGTGTGATTCAATGTGAGTGTGGGCTCTGCTGTGCAAATGCAGATTATTTGATAATGGATGTACAAGAGATGAATGACCCCAAAAGGAGCAGGTCTGTGCAGGTCTCTGTGTGATGTATATAAGGGTAAGATTGGAAATGATGGTTATTTCTTCAGTCTTTGATCAGGAGCAGTGGAAAGCTGATTCTCTTGGACAAGCTGCTGACCAGGCTGCGCGAGAGAGGCAACAGAGTGCTGATCTTCTCCCAGATGGTGAGGATGCTGGACATCTTGGCAGAGTACCTGACTATCAAACACTACCCTTTTCAGGTGAGAAACATCAGCATGGAAAACAGTGGGGTCCCCTTGAAAGTGTGGGCAAAAGTGGAGGGAGCTTGAGCAGTGGGAGTCACTGAGTTCCCCCGAGGTTGGTGGCTGGGATTACAGGTGTCACTTACTGGAAGGAGCTGGGGTGTCCCTTCCTTTCAGGGTGGCCCCACCTGTGCAGAACTCCTCTGACAGGCCCTGTTTGGGCTGTGTCATGTGATAAACCCCGAGGACAGTGAGCACAGAGAGCCTGGCTGGCAGCCTGTAACGGGAGCTGCGGTGTCACCCGCCCTGTGCCTGCTCCCCGAGCATCCCCCAGCCCTTGTGACACAGCACAGATATTTTTAATTGGTGGCTATTTTTAACAATTAAACGCTGCAGGCAGCACAGGGGGCTGCAGGGCTGGCAGCACTCGGGTGCAGCAGTGCCTCAGGGCTCCTTTACCTTCTCTCTTTTCTCACTGTTGTTGGTTTTTGCAGCGCTTGGACGGCTCGATCAAGGGGGAGATCCGAAAGCAGGCGCTGGATCACTTCAACGCCGACGGCTCCGAGGTACCACAGGCTGGGCAGAGGGTTTGTGGCTGAGCCACAGCTTGGCACTGACTCCAGGGGGTTAGCTCAGAACAGTTCTTTCCACAGGAGCCCAGGTGCTTTTAAAGACACGGATATGGCAGGTTTTTCATATTTCATATTACTGGAAATCTCTTGCATCCAAGGAGCAGGGCAGCCAGTCACATTTCCAGAAAGTTCTGAAGAGGCTGGGAACAGCCAAAATTTAGTAATTTTCCCCCTATTGGTCTGGAGAATGAGATGGTTGCTGAGTGATTCCAGTCTGAAGCTGGTTTTGAATATGAAATGACAGAAGCAAAAGAAGGATTTTAAGTGTTGGCAAGCAATGGATTCCAGTGCTGGAGGTGAAAGTCTCCAGTGTAATAGGAGAGGGCATCTGAAACCTCTCATCTGGGCTTGCTGACTCACAGTGACTGGTGCAGGACACTTGTTTTTGTGTCAGTCAGCCCAGCTGTGAGAAATACCTTTCCTCACTCCAGGAGCCTGGGCTGGAGCAGGATTCTTGGCTCACACAGGGATTCTGAGGAATTGTGGTTGTAGGAAAGTTAACAAAAGGAAGTGTGAGGGGAAAAGAGAAAGAAAGGCCATAGAACCTGCCCTTTTCCCTGTCCTGAGGGCATCTATGGGGGCTCAGGCATCTTGGCCCTAAGTTGGCACAGTCTGTTCATTGCTGATCTCACTCCTAACAGGATTCAGGCAGCAAAAAGCAGGTTTGCCTGCTGCCTTTGTAGGAGCCTGGTGAGCAACAGGGTCTGACCCTCAGAAGTAACTATAAGGTGCTCCTGCCTTGAGCTGCTTGTGTTGCTCTCCCAAATTGATTCATCCCTTCAACTGGGCCAGCACTGCCTCACCCTGGGTCTGGGCTTAAAGGCTGGTGCTGCTCAGCCTGCATGAACAGGAAAGGGAAGGAAATATGAGAAGGAAATCCTTTTTCTGCTTTAAGAAGCATGAGTGCAACAGAGCCTTCCCTTTTACAGCTTTTGAGTCACCACTGCTATTTTATGCCCACAGTTACAAGCTGGTTAACTCATGTTTTTTATTTTTTCCTTCTCAGGACTTCTGTTTCTTGTTGTCAACAAGAGCTGGAGGGCTGGGAATTAATTTGGCCTCTGCTGATACTGTTGTTATCTTTGACTCGGACTGGAACCCCCAGAATGATCTTCAGGCTCAGGCCCGAGCCCATCGGATCGGACAGAAGAAGCAGGTCAGGAGAGCTGCTGGGTTATTTCACTCTGGCTTCAGTGTGTGCACCTAAACACCCTCTCACCTCACCAAAGCTTCTGAAAACATGGGCTTGTTGTCCCAGTCCTTGCTCCAGGGAATCTCATTTAAAAAGTAGGAGACAAAAAAGCAGCCCAGATTTGCCAGGTGCCAAGTCTTTCTCTTGGTTTTGAGCATACCCAGAACCCAACCCATGGCATTGCACTTCTCAGCCTAGTCCTATGGACTCTGTTCTTTCTTGCCCTGAAAAACTTAAAAAGTAGAACATCCACCTTTTCTAGGGGTTATTGGACATGTGAAAAGCTAGTTTGGTGCTAGTTTGAATTCAGAGCAATTGTTTCAGAAGATTTTTGCTCTGTGCTTAGGCACACTACTGTGTCTGGATCTGTGTTAATTATCCTTATTTTGACTGGATACAGAGAGAATGTGTTTGTTTTTCTTCTGAAAAAGCACATCTGTGCATGAAGAGACAATGTCAGCAGCCCAGTGAAAGCAGCTGAGGGATGCATTGCTGTGTCAGCAGAGCCTGTGCAGGAAATAGCTGTGGTCTCTTTTTGCCTCTCAGGTGAACATTTACCGCCTGGTCACCAAGGGGACAGTGGAGGAGGAGATCATTGAGAGAGCCAAGAAGAAAATGGTGCTGGACCATTTGGTTATCCAGCGTATGGACACCACTGGCAGGACTGTTCTGGACAACAACTCTGGGAGATCCAAGTACGTGGCTGTGTCAGGAGGCAGAAGTGTCTGGAGCACGGGGCATAACCAGCCTCCCCTGCTGGCATTTCCCAGATTTATCTGATAGGGTACAGGGCAGAAGGCTAATAAATCATGGCAGCTTCCACTGATTTGGCTTCTGCAGCCATTTATTTAGATACATAGGATAAAGATAATCAGAAATTCAAGATTTGTTTTAGGGCACCACTTGTTTTTGCTTCTGTCTCTCACCCAGAGATCATCCTGGTCTGAGGGAACCTGGCTGTGGAACAGCTGCATTTTGGCAGTGACCTCAGATTCTCTTCATTTCCCCCAGTAGATGGAGGTGGTTCCCATTGCAGTCTTTGTCTGTGCTGGAGCAGGAAAGAGAATAATAACAAAGCTTTTTATAGTGCTGGGTAGAAATCTTACTCCTTGCTTCAATTGGGAGAAACTTTGGTATGGTTTTGTGCTGTAGCAGTTCTGACTGAACAGCTGAAAACACCTTTTCCTTCTTTTCCTCTTGCAGCTCAAATCCCTTCAACAAAGAGGAGCTGACAGCTATTTTGAAGTTTGGAGCTGAAGATCTTTTCAAGGAGCTGGAAGGGGAAGAGTCAGAGCCTCAGGTAGTTTGAAATTGAAATCACATAGCAGTTTGTAGTGCTCTCCAGGTCTGCAAGAAGGACTGTGTGTGGTTGCTCCTGCTTTGTTCTTGCCCTGTGCATGAGAGGAGGTTGGTGAATAGGACATGTGGGAGTCTGGAGAAGCTGGAAGCAGAGTCTGGGATTGTGGGATCAGGGTTTGAGGAGAGCCTTGTTGGGGATTAAATGGTAATGGTCACCCAAGGAGTCCCTTCTCTTCTGAGGATTATTAGCTGGTGACAGCACAGCCTGCTGAAGGCTCCTCTCACTTGCTCAGAACCCTTTTTTGGTGGTTCTGAGCAAGGCAGGAGTCAGCACAGTGCAGTGAACAGGTCGCTCTCTCCTGCCTCAGTGCAACATCGCTTGACAGTTTAGCATTGAGTGTTTTGACCAATTCTCTTAATGGTCCAAGCAGCAGAGCTTCTCCCCAGGGAGACAGCCTACAGTTCATACATCTCACTGCCTGGAAATTTTCCCCACTGTTCAGCCCTGATGGTCCTTTCCTTCTGTTCTGTCACCTTATTTGTACTTTGCTGTCCCACTTGAGACAGTTCATCCCTGCCCTCCGGGATGACACCCTGCAGACATTTGCACTTTATTTAGCTCATATCAGCACACCAGCCTGTTCTCAAAGCCTCTTACATCCTGCTGTGCCTGGCACCCTCTGCTTTATCCCTCCTTCTCCCTGACTGGCAGGAGATGGACATCGACGAGATTCTGCGTCTGGCTGAAACCCGGGAGAATGAGGTGTCCACCAGTGCCACCGACGAGCTGCTCTCACAGTTCAAGGTATGGACACCCCCAGGCGCTGTGCTGGGTTTGGGAATGTGGCTCCCCACACCCTGAGGTCAGTAACAGGCAGGAACACCTCGCACAGATCTCAGAATCACAGAATGGTTTGGGTTGGAAGGGAACTTAGAGATCATCCAGTTCCAAACCCCTCCTGAGGTAAGTATTAATTTAATTTCAGGAAAGTGGTTTTGAAGGCTGTGAATAAAATGCAGAATTTACCAAATTTGGAAACAAACCCAATAATTTACAAATACTCAGCAGTACTCCTTAAACTGCACGTACTTCCTCAAAAGCTGTTAGTCCAAAGAAGGGCAAGGAGCCAGGAATGTAGTGGCATAGGGATCAATTATGGAGTAGTTATGGAAGTGTTGGCAGAATTCCTGTGGAGAAGGAGTTGAGGCTTAGCAGACAGCTCTGGGGTGTTCCTGCCAGGGGAGGGAATTGCTAAAACTTCTCCTTTGCTTGTAAAAGGTTGCCAACTTTGCAACCATGGAGGAGGAAGAGACAGAGCTGGATGAGCGGTCCCAGAAGGACTGGGATGATATCATTCCAGAAGAGCAGAGGAAAAAGGTGGAGGAGGAAGAAAGGCAGAAAGAATTGGAGGAAATCTACATGCTGCCTCGAATCCGGAGCTCAACGAAGAAGGTACAGCCCATCATGAGGGGATGAGAGGCTGGAGGAGAGAACTGGCAAAGAGAGTGCTCAGGGGAAGCCTCCTTGCACCAAAAAAGATCTGAGCATCTTTTCCTCCTCCAAAGTTGGTTGGGATAAAGCACAGAGGTAACACAGTGACCTCTTGTTGGCACTGTGCATTGCACCAGTGGTTTGGGATGCAGCCTGAGGGCCCAGACTGGACTTGGTGCGACTCATCTCACCTTAGCAGACAAAATCAAAAGAATCTGCAGTGACCACAAAGCAAAGTACCCAATTGTATTGGATTTTGCTGCAGATTTTGCCATTTTTTGGCTGTCTCTTTTCCTTGGGCTCTCTAGGTCCCTGGGTGGCTCTTGCCTAAATCTGGATCCTGAGGAGCAAAAGAGATGGTGTCTTCCCAAGATCTTCTTTATGTAATGGGATCTACCCCAATCCAAAAGAAAGCTGACTGTGCAAGGATGCTCTGCTGGGATGTGGGACTCTAAGGGCTTAGAACTGTTCTGTGGGCTGAGCTGGAGAAAAACATTGATGTGAAAAACACAGAGAAGGATAATTCATGTTGGATGAATCCAGATTAATTTCTGAGGTGTCCTGGCTTTCAAAATAGTCTAAGGGACCGTGGCATAAACTCATGGAAATCAATATTTTAACATCTTTTATAGATCAAAATTCAATTGTGAAACTGGTGGCTGTAAAAGGAGGATGACCACCACTGTGCAGCCTCTCTGGGCTGGCCACATGGGCTCCTGCTTCTTCAGGAGTGGATGCTCACGTGGTTTACAGTCCATTAAACAGTGCCAGTGCACGGAGGGACAGAAAAGGTTGCTAGCTGATTAGATGAGCAGTTGATGACTGTCCTGCTGTTTCTCTGGTACCTGCAGGCTCAGACAAATGACAGTGAATCTGATGCAGAGACCAAGAGGAGGCTTCAGAGATCATCTGGGTCAGAAAGCGAGACCGACGACACCGACGACGAGAAGAGACCCAAGCGCCGGGGACGCCCTCGGAGTGTCAGGAAAGACACTGTGGAAGGATTTACTGATGCTGAAATCAGGAGGTCAGTGCTGGGCACAAGGGACACTTCAGAAGACAAATTAGAAACCCCATGCAGGTGGGGAAAATCCCAGATTAATCCAGGATGTGTTCACCTGTAAGCACGTCAGTGGTTGGGCAGAGCTGGTTCACTGGCACAGCTTCTGCACCTTTATATAGCTCAGTTTGATCCCAGCTGATGACCTTAACATCCAGGTCAGTGCAGAATGGACTGGATTGTCTTTAGCCAGGCTACAGTGAAGCTTGGTACCTTCCTAAAATTAATCCATGGTGTAAGTGCCCTTTGTGGGCCAAGTGGATGGAGCTCACGCTGTATAACATGTGAAGAGGTCTTAGGTGCCATGAGCTACAGAGCTGGAGAAGCCAAGGGCTCTGGCCTTCCTGACACTTTTCTGGCAGTCATGCTGCTGATTTAAGCTCTCAGTGAAAGGCAGGCTCTGGCAAAATGACCTCATGAGAAGCACTGGTCCTGTTAATCTGAATGTGTCAGTGTCTGATGTCAACCGGAGAATAGAATTTTAGAATATTGTTTTCTTCTCCTATCTTCTAATTCTTGAGTCTTTCCCAGAGATCTTTGTCTTAACAGCTCTACCCAGATGTTCAGCCAAAGATGGAAGTGAGGGAGTTATGAGTTTTCCTTAACTCTCTATCTCTGAGGAGTTGTATTTTTAAGCAGGAGATAACAGAATTTTTGGGCTGTGATAGCTGCCTTATAACCATCTTGAAACCATGGAGCAGGAGGACATGTTACAATATGCAATATAACAGCCGTTTAGGTTATTGTGATGTAGCAGAAAGGGGCTGAAAGAATACAAAATGAAAATGAGAGGGCAGAAAATTAATTCATTTAAAAAATAACCTGTAGTTGTAGCCATTGTGTCTACTCCCAGCTCAAGGCAATGTTTGATTGCAGCAACTCTTGCTCTAAAGATGTGTTAGCCACAGCAGGGATTTTCACAATAAAAATAAGACATGAAAATAAATAGCAAACCTCATCTGCAAACCTCTGTGATGAATGGAACCACATTTGGCTCTTCTGTGATGGGTTGCTACATTTACAGCCCAAGCTTTAAAATTACTAATGACATTGATTTAATGCCTCTTTTCTTCCTGGAAAAATGAAGTTAATAATTACCAACATGGTGTGAGCCAATGCTTTCTTCTATTTTTTTTTTTTTTTTTTGCCCTACAGTAACCACTCTCCTTTTCTTTTTTACCCCTCATCTGTCAAACACTCAACATTCATAACAATGTTGTGTTCTTCTTCAGCCAAGGTCACAAAACTCCTTGTGGGGGCTAATGGATGAGGCTGCCCAGTGCTGAGCTGCTCAGTGGGGAATGCAAGGGTGATAATGTGACAGGCTGTAATTAATATATTCAAGCACATTTGTGATATAGGACCTACTTTTTATGGCAGCTAGTTTAGTTTTTTAATTTTTTTTTTTCTCTCCTTAGGTTTATCAAGGCTTACAAGAAGTTTGGATTGCCTCTTGAAAGGTGAGTCCCAAGCTGGCCCTGCTCCAGAGATGACCATGGAGGCACATTGTGCTCCTGGGCACTGCAGGCACTCATTGCTCTGGGTGTGTGACACAGCCTGCACTGACAGCACAAGCCTTGCTGCCCTGCCACAGACCCCAGGCACTGCTGGGCACTCCCTGGTGCCTCTCTTGATGGGCACTGATGAATGCTGGCTGAAAACCAGCTGGAGCAGTGGTGGTGCCAGGCTGTGACACAGCAGGGCCCTGCTGGCACAGTCCTGCCCTTGGGGCATTCCCACTCTGCCCAGAGAGGAGAGGGAGCAGCTGTCAGAACAACAAATGCTGCCCAAAACACTTGCCAAGCTCCTCTGTGCACGTTAGCCTCAGGACTGGATTTGGAGCGTCTTTCCATGCTCTGTCCCTCCTGAAGGGAGACAAAGAGAGGCACCATCCTTAAACATGGATCTGCAGGGCTCTGGCTCTGGAAAGGTCTCAGGGCTGAGGCAGAGTTCCCTGAATGTATTATAGGAGAAATTCAGTGGTTTTTCAGCTGGTTCTGCTCTCCTGTTATGAAACACAAGGCTTGCATGTGAGTCTTGATGTTACTGACTTCAGGCAGGCAAAAGCGACAGCAGATGGCAGCTTTGGACCATCAAATGGAGTTAAAGTGGAACTGGGAAAGCCTCAGGGAATACTGGACAGTCACAGAGGGTCCCTGTTGTCCCCAGGAGAGACAGTTCTCACCTTTGCTTTGGTACTAAAAAATCCACATGATTGGATCAGTTTTACTGCATCTGCACTGCAGCTGTTAGACCCAAAAAAAAGACAAACCTGGGTTGTTTCCTCGTGCATGTTTTATACATTCACATGTGTACAGCACTGAGCTGTGAAACAATGGAATCGGAAGTGATTGAGAGAGGAACTGCTGTATCTCACACCAAGCTGTCCCTGTTCCCCAGGCTGGAGTGCATTGCCCGGGATGCTGAGCTGGTGGACAAGTCTGTGGCTGACCTGAAGCGTTTGGGGGAGCTCATCCACAACAGCTGTGTGTCAGCAATGCAGGAATATGAGGAGCAGCTGAAGGAAAATCCAGCAGAAGGTAGGCCAGGGGGTTGTTAGGGTGGTTTTGGGAGTGTTCCATGGAGCTTGTGAGGAAACCATTCCAGTGCTGGACAGGGAGGCCACATTGTGAAGCAATGAACAAAAACACACTTAAACCACCCCAGCTCTGCCAGGCAGCTCTCACCCTCAGACAGGAGCCCCTGAGCTTTCTGTTCAGACTGGACAGTGCCTCTTGGGTCTGTTGGCTTCTGCTGCACATGAGTTTTTGTGGAGAGAGGCTGAAGTGACCAGCTCATTGAATACTGGGCCACAAAGCAAAGCAGATCTTATTTTAACTGGAAATCAAACTGGTGCTGTGTACTCCACAGTAAAGCTGGGTCCACAGCAATTCCCAGAGCTGGAATCACCACCCACTCTCTGTCTGGCTGCTCTTTGCTGTTTGTTTGGACATACAGAGTCAGGGATGGATTTCCTGCTGGGTCTCTGCCTGCTGCAGCTGACCAAGACTGCAGAATCAACAGCTCCAGTGTACTTAGAAGTATTTTTAAGAAAATGGTACTGGGAGGTGTTTAAATTGCAGATCTAAGTGAGCTGTGGAAGAAAACTTATATTTTGGGCCTTATGTTTAAATAAGAGGCTGCAGGCAAGGTCTTGCTCACTGTCTGTGGAGCCATTTTACAGAGATACTTCCTTCTGTAAGAGTTCCTTTAATTAATGCTGTGTTTTATTGCTGAGCAGGGAAAGGACCTGGAAAGAGACGAGGTCCTACCATCAAGATTTCTGGTGTCCAAGTCAATGTGAAATCCATCATCCAGCACGAGGAGGAGTTTGAAATGCTGCACAAATCCATTCCCTCGGACCCAGAGGAAAGGAAGAAGTGAGTTTGGCTAAGTAGGCAACGCAGAAAGAGGCTCAGGGAGTTTGGATTTTGTAGTGGGAAGAGAACAGCCTGGATGTGCGGATTTCCTTTATCCTCCACAGCACTAAAAGCAGTGTTTGCAATGCCTTTAGGTACCGCCTGACGTGCCGTGTCAAAGCTGCTCATTTTGATGTAGACTGGGGAGTGGAGGAGGATTCTCGCTTGCTGGTGGGAATTTACGAGCATGGCTATGGAAACTGGGAGCTGATCAAAACAGACCCGGAGCTGAAGCTGTCTGATAAGGTAGGTGGCTTTGCTTGCTGCTTCCATTGGGTCCATTGCTCATAGCAAACACACCTCATGTGCTCCAAAAACAGATGTTTATGTTTGTAACTACTCCAAAAACCATGATCAGTGATAATGAGGAAGACGGTGGCCTTCATGGAATGTTGCATGCTGGATGGAAGGCAGAGTTGTGTTGTTTGGTGGGCAGTACCGGGTGAACCACACTGAATTGATGCAGGCAGAAAGTGGCAGTGTGGTTCCATGCACAGGATGGAAGAGGCTGTGACTTGATGTTTTCTTGAGCATCTCACAAGAAGCTGAGTGTGAATTTCTGAGTGGAAATAATTTCTCACAGATTTGACACTGCTTGTGTCGAGGCTGGTCCGTGTTAGCTTCGAGGGTATGGTTACACGACTGGGACTGGGAATGGCAGCACAGCCAGCTGGAAAGCCTCCATCTAGTTCCTCTGTTCCTCAGTCATCCCCACAAGAACAGTTTACAGGCACCATGTTGAAATGATCTGGGTTAAAAATAATCCGCCATCCGTTGTGTCAGTGTGGTGGAAAGAGTGTGGAAACTGCAGCACAGGGCTGAGGAGCACTGGGAGTCTGCACACCAGCTTTGCTGCCAGCCTGCAGCATTCCCCTGACATCCCTGCTGGTGCTTTTAGCAGAGATCAGGCTCTGCCTGAGAGCCCTCCATGTGTGGAGCTCAGAAAGGCATTTTGCAATGGAAACAGCTGCCTGAAACACGCCACCCATTTTCCAGTGAAGTATGAAGCAAACCTAGCTGGCAAGCTGAGCTATTTCCTCCACAAAGTGTCACCTTTCAGCCTTGTTTTCCACTAAAAATTGTGCATCTGTGCCCCTGCTGTGGCAGTGTCTCAGGTTACCAGAGTGACTGGGCTGCTGTGACCAAGCTGCCACAAACAAATCCGAGGTGTCAAGGCCAGTGGACTCAGTTTTGCAACTCAAAGTCCCAAATATAGCCTGTAAAGGATTTTTTCCTTCAAGAGACCTTAGCAAGCTTGCAAGGCTTAGCAAGCCTTGGGATCCTTTAACTTGTGCAGGATTCCAAGGGGAAGGATGCTTGCTTGCTAGGAGCTTTGCCTTTGGCCACACAGGGACATGGGAAAGGAAGGCTTGAGCCTTCTTGTTCCCCCAGAAGGTGCAGCATCTTCTGCCCTTTGCTGGGCCTGGAAGGGCTGCTGCTAATGTATAAATATTTTCTCAAGTTTTGTGGATATGGGTGTATATATATATTTTTTTTTTTTTCTGCTTTATTAAAGATCCTACCAGTTGAGACAGATAAGAAACCTCAGGGAAAACAGCTCCAGACCCGAGTTGATTATCTACTGAAACTGCTGAAAAAAGATCTGGACAAGAAAGAAAACATGAAAGATGGGGAAGAGGTGAGATGTGATTCTGGGGGTTTCAGGGGCAGTGGTTGGCTGATGGCAGGAGACACCCTGTGTTCCCTAAGTTCACCTGACATCATTTCTATGAAGGAATATGGACTTATTGTCTGATTACATTGTGATAATTCTCATTTAAATGATAATTAATAAGGGGCAGGTTATTTCTGCTCTTACTGAAGGATTTGGGCTCATCAGGTTTCCTGCCAGCCTGCAGGACCTGCAGCTGTTTGCACAATGTTCAGGAGATGGGAAATGTCCCCAGGAAGTAGCTGTAGCTATTTGCTTTCCCTGACTTGTTCTGTTTTTACCAGGGCAAGCTAAAGAAGAGGAAACCCCGAGTGAAGAAGGAGAACAAGGCTCCCAAAGTCAAAGATGAGCATGGGAATGAGCTCTCCTCCCCTCGGCACTCAGACAACCAGTCAGAAGAAGGTGAAGTCAAGGTGAGTCAGCCTTGGTGGCTTTTCCAGGTTTCCTTGGGCTCTGCTGTCACTGCCCAACCTCACCTTGGGAAGCATTCCCAGCAAAGCCCCCAGAGTCAGAGGCACTAAGAGTGAATTCCCACAGGATTGGCTAACTCACAAAACCACCCATACAGCTATTGGTGTGAAAGAAGGACCTTTCCCACCTATTCTTTCAGCTCAGTGCTTTAAGGGATTGGGGGCATCCCAGAAAGGCCACAGACATCCACACATTGACTCGGGGGAAAGGTTGTCTCAGGACAAAGCCTGTTGCCCTTATAAAGGAGAGAAAGAAGAATTGTTTCCCTCTCCTTTTGGGCACGTCAGCCCATGGTGAGGCTGGAGTTTACCAAGGTCATGCTGTTGCTTAGAAAATGTTCAGACTTTGAGTGGTTTGGCTTGCAGTCTGAGGCTTTTTGTTCGTGTGCTGATCAGTATCTACCTCGGGGGCTGATCGTTCTGGAGTGCAGCTGGCACAGGAGAGCAGGGCTGCTCTGCAGCTTGCCAGCTTGCCACAGAGTGGGGCTGCTCTGCTTTTCATACCCTTTTGTCACCTCTGAGGGGATGGCAGCTGCTTGAGCAGGGCTCGATGTCTGCCTAAAGAGGTGTGAGGGTAAATCTGGATGGACCTCAAAAGTTGCCTGTGCTTTAAGGATGTTTTGTGGAAGAAAATGTACATGAGGTGAGGGACTCCAGCTTTGTGCTGTGACTGATATTCTAGGAGGATGGCTTGGACAAGAGCCCAGTGAAAAAGAAACAGAAGAAGAAAGAGAACAAAGAGAACAAGGAAAAACAGACATCATCTAAGAAAGAAAAGGAGAGCGATAAGGAGAAAAAGAAGACAAAAGACAAGAAGGAGAAGGTATGTGATACTTTCAGGAGCAGCATGATAGGGAAGACCCTGAGCTGGACAAACTGTGAGACTTAGGATTCATTAAAGGCCTTGTGGGATGAGGGGTGTCCCTTTTTCAGCCCTTCTGAATCGCCATAAAAAGTAGAAAAGGCAATATGTCCTAAAGCTTCATGGAATGTGACCAAAACGGAAGAGATTTTGTCAGGCTGCCTTTAAAGTACAGCTGTCCCTGTGCCATGGATGTGGCCACAGAGCTGATGCTAAGGAAAGAGCCTGGAGCACTCAGATCAAAGTTCTGTCCAGCTGTGATTTATCACAGGGCTGGCAGGTCCTTGTCTGTATTCCCCTTTAATTTAAACTCACCCAAATGACCCAAGTGTCCACACCATCAAGGCTGTAAGTTGTCATTGTCACTGCTCAGGACTCAACAGAATGAGTGTTTCAACATCACTGGTATGCTGGAGACTCAAATGTCTCCTGAATTTTGGGTACAACTGCCCTGAGGCTGGGTGCAAATTGGAAGGGGGGTAAAAGCTTCCATAATGATGACCTGAAGTACCTGTCCAAGGAACAGGTATGTACTACATGCCCAGTGTGTTTTGACACTGAGGTCATAAGTGCAAACTAAGAAGTTCTGTTGTCTATGTAGGGGAAAGTTTGCTTTCCAGAGATTTTTGGTGTGGCTTTGACTGCAGGTAAGTCATATAGGTAAAAATATACATGAACAGGCCATGATTTGAGAACTAGTGATATCACATAAAGTTGCAGATGCTTGTAGAGATGAGACTACCCTGAGCTCAGTCCTTTGCAAGGGAGAGATACTCTTTATTTTAACCTCTGTTCCAACTCTTCAACACTGGTTTCTCCCCATGAGTGTGAATATCGTGTTCATGTCCAAACTGTTGGCTCTGACTTCTCCCTTCTCCTTCATGGATGACATAAAGTTAAACAGAGCCATTGCAGCTCAACAGTTGGAGATTTTGGGAGGAAAGTTGTAGGAACAGTGCCCAGGTTTAGCAGCTGCCAGTAACAATAGTGTGGAGGTTGTTAGCTGGGTCACTGGGGATCCTCCATCCTGGCTCATTGTATGATGTGTGTAATTTGTCCTTGTAAAGCCTAAAGGTGCAGAGGCCAAATCTGGAAGTAAAGGGAAGAGATCACAGGGTCCTGTCCACATCACTGCAGGGAGCGAGCCAATCCCCATTGGAGAAGATGAGGATGATGATCTGGACCAAGAAACATTCAGCATAGTGAGTATTTTGTATTTTCCTTGGGAAATGGGAGGGCAGTGCTGAGAGCCCAGTGAAGTTACAAAACACCCTGCAGCCTTACAGTCCCTCTCTTGTGGAAGCCAAGGAGCCACTGAAGCTCTTTCAGGAAAGGAGATGCAGGGGAGTTTTGAGGGTGACCTTGCTGGAGGTGAAGAGCTGTGTAAATGCTCTCACAGCAAACATGCCCAGAAGGCTCATTGTAAAAATTGCCTTTTAGTAAAATTATCATTGCAGATTCTCCTTGGCTGAAACACCACTTCTTACAAGCAGTTCTCTCAATGCAAATCTCTGTATTGTTGGAAGTCCTGTGGGTTTTTTTTTGTCTTTTTCTTTAACTTTCCTTCTGTGATGTACAAAAGATCCAGGCAGGCAGTCAAAAAACCTGTCTGATTCCTTATCTGTGCATGGTGTTGGTGTGCCCAGGCTGAAAAACAGGGTGCTTTCATCTCATATCTGCTAGTTTTGGTAAAAGCAAGCATTAAAGTGACCAAAGATGGGATTGGACAGGATTGAATTGAGCAGTTTTTCAGCTGGGGTGGCTGGTTCAGTGTGTGGAGGCTTGGATCCACTTCCCTGCCTGCCATGGGATCCATGCAGGGGCAGACCATGTGTGGTTACTGCTTACAAAGCAAATTGTTCCCTCCTAAAAGGCAGGGGCAGTGGGGGTGGGAAAAATCTTGTCTTTTACTGATGATTGTCTGCAGCTTGTCTAACAATTTGCTATTTTATAGCTGATTTCTCCTTGCCTAATGGCCAGATAAAGCTAAACAAGCTTCTTTTCAATTAACAGGGCAATGATGTAGAGCCCTCTGCCAAATTAATCACTTTCTCCTCTCTGTTGTTCTTTCAAGTGCAAGGAAAGGATGAGACCAGTCAAAAAAGCACTGAAGCAACTTGATAAGCCTGATAAGGGACTGACAGTCCAAGAACAGCTGGAGCACACACGAAACTGCCTCCTGAAAATCGGTGATCGCATCTCTGAGTGCCTTAAAGCCTACACTGACCAGGATCACATCAAGCTGTGGAGAAGGTGAGGGATCATTTTGTTTTCCTTAGCTGGTCTAGAACATTTTGAAATGGTAATCAGAGGCTGCTGGATTTTTTGTGGATGGATGTGCCATTTGCCTTTTACTTAACCCGTGAAGTCTTGTGATTTCTGCTCCACTCAGTCCACAGAATCACAGAATCATGGAATGGTTTGGGTTGGGAGGGACCTTAAAAATCACCCAGTTCCAACCCCCTGCCATGGGCAGGGACACAGTTCACTAAACCAGATTGCTCCATTCAGCCTGAACCTTGAACACTTCCAGGGATGGTCTTCCATCACAAGTCCCAGGCAAATGTTTTGTCTTCAAGTTGTCCTGGTTTCATTAAAACTGATTTCAAAGCTAAATCATACAAACCACTCCAAACCTCTTTATTTTACTTTGAAGAATATGGTTCCAGCCCTCCTGATCATCCTGTCCCGAGCTGAGACTGTTTTCCCGAAAGGGTAGAAGGAATTTGATGTTGGTTTGGAAGTCATTGGCAGTTAAACTGCTGCTGTAGCACTTAACAGAAAATGTTTGTGTCCTTCTAGGAACTTGTGGATATTTGTGTCAAAATTCACAGAATTTGATGCCAGAAAACTACACAAACTCTACAAGATGGCTCATAAGAAAAGATCACAGGAAGAGGAGGTGAGACCTGAAGTGCTTTCCCTTCAATTTCTGTCCTTAAAAGTTGTTGCACTGAAAGTGCCAATTCTTTCTGCCTCTTACCGTGGGTGTTCTTTGTTGTTGGCACTGTGATTTGCTCAACATCTAAACAGCCTGATTGCATTTGCCTTCTTTTCTATGTGGTATTTCTGGTCACTTTGTCCTGGCTGTCCTGACCAAGCAAAAGCAGGCATGTGATGTTCAGTTGCTCTGGAATGAAAAGTGGAATGAAAAGCCTGGTCATGCTGCCCTGTAGAGATCAGGTGTAGAAGCAGAGCTGCGAAATTCTGCCTGTCCTCCACCACGTTTGTGCCGTTCTTGGGCACAGAGTTGGCTCACCTCAAAGAGGCAGGAAAATCCAGAGCCTGGCAGACAAGCTTGGCTCACAGTCCTACTCTTCTGGTGGGACAGCAGCTGAGCTGTATCCATCCCTCTGTTCCCCCTTGCAGGAGCAGAAGAAGAAGGAGGACATGTCCAGCATGAAGAAGCCGTTCCGCCCAGAGCCGTCAGGCTCCAGCCGCGATTCCGTGATGTCCCAGTCCCACGTGCCTCACAATCCCCACTCCCAGAAGATCCACATGCCCCCTTCCCACACCCAGCAGCAGATGCACGGCCACCCCCGGGACAACTACGGCCACCCAAACAAGAGACATTTCAGCAACACAGGTGAGCCAGGCTGGCAGGCCAGGAGAAACCTTCCCTTCTGACCTAATGCTCCTGGACACAAGTCCTTCTGGGACTTGTGGCTGCTCAGGTTTAAAGGGGATGGGATAGAACATCTGTACTTACTGCTGGGCTAGAAAACGTGGTGATGTAGTGAGGAAAAGAATGTGAGTAAGATTTGTGAGGATGATAAAGAAATAGTGATAAAGAAATTTGTGACCGTGTTCACTGGGGTCTTAGAATGAGGGAAGAGACAAGGATCTGAGTTCATGTTTCAGAAGGCTTGATTTATTATTTTATGATATATTAAAACTATACTAAAAGAATAGAAGAAAAGATTTCATCAGAAGGCTAACTAAGAATAGAAAAAGAAGGAATCATAACAAAGGCTTGTGGCTCGGGGCTCTCTGTCTGCGCCAGCTGACTGTGATTGGCCATTAATTAGAAACAACCAACATGGGCCAATCACAGATCCACCTGTTGCATTCCACAGCAGCAGATAATCATTGTTTACATTTTGTTCCTGAGGCCTCTCAGCTTCTCAGGAGGAAAAATTCTAAGGAAAGGATTTTTCATAAAAGATGTCTGTGACAGAAATTCAAAGAATAAAATGGGCCCACGTTTAGGGAGGAGAAAGTTAAAGGGGTGTCAATAGCTGTTTTTTCTTGGAGAATTCAGGGAAGCAAATGGGTTTAAACCAAATCACGACAGAGACTCAGAGGTGCTCTTTGCCCACGGCAGACCGAGGAGACTGGCAGAGGGATCGAAAGTTCAACTACGGCGGCAACAGCAACCAGATGTGGGGCGGGGAGCGGCACCACCAGTACGAGCAGCACTGGTACAAGGACCACCACTACGGGGAGCGGCGCTCGCGGGGGGACCCCCACCGCAGCTCCGGCAACTACCGACCAAACAACCTGTCCCGCAAGCGGCCCTACGAGCAGTACAACAGCGACCGCGACCACCGCGGCCACCGCGACTACTACGACAGGTGAGCGATGGTCTGACAGGGGTCTGCTGAGCAAGGCAGAGCCTCCCCTGAAATGGAAAATGTCAACCCCCTCCCTCTGAATTGGTGTAATTTTGAAATTATGGCAAAGATACGGGAGCAGGAATAACAGTTTTTTGTTAGGGAAGAAAATATAAAATAAAATAAAATAAACAGTGCAGTAATACAAAATAACTCTGACAAAGTCAGAATAGAGCTGACACCCTGTGGATATCAGCAGTCCCATTAAATGGTGGCTGCAGCCCTCCTGCAGTGCCAGGGGTGGTTCTGTTGGAGCATTGATCCTGTAGAACAGTGTAGTCTTCCTCTGAAGGAAGGTAGTAGTACCTCCAGTGGTAGTGTAGATGAGCCTGATCTTCCTCTGGGAATCCAGTGGAAAAAGGTGCTTCTCTGGGAATTCAGAGGAAAAGACTGCTCCTCTTGGAATCCAGTGGGAAAAAGCTGCTTTTCTGGGAATTCAGAGGAAAAGACTGCTCCTCTGGGAATCCAGTGGGAAAAAGGCTGCTCCCCTGGGAATCCAGTGGGAAAAAGGCTGCCTGTGGTCTTCCAAACCTCTGATTAGATCCAGGTAGGAATGCTTGGCCCCTCCCCCTGGGCGGAGCTTCTCTCAATGGGATGATGTAATTTTATCAGTCATACAGTGACACTCATTGGCCATTAACAGAAGGGTATTTCCCAGAGGGAGGATTGGTTGTGGAAGAGATAAAGAAAAACTAAGAAGGTAACTGCTCCACAGATAGGAATAGAATACACACACCTAAGACATTGCCCTCACCTCAGCGGGCTGGGGGAGCTGATCTCCATCCATTTCCCTCTGCACAGGCACCACCACGATTCCAAACGCCGGCGGTCCGAGGACTTCAGGCCTCAGAACTACCACCAGCAGGATTTCAGGAGGATGTCTGACCACAGGCCACCCATGGGCTACCACGGGCAAGGACCCTCGGACCACTACCGGTCCTTCCACACAGACAAACTGGGCGATTACAAACAGCCCCTCCCTCCATCCCACCCTCCGGTGTCGGACCCTCGCTCGCCCCCCTCTCAGAAATCCCCCCACGATTCCAAGTCACCTCTCGATCACAGGTCACCTCTGGATAGGTCATTGGAACAGAAAAACAACCCAGATTATAACTGGAACATTCGGAAAGCGTAGAGCGACGGAGAGGGCGAAGGGCACGTCCGAGATCCTGGGACTGGTGCGACGGTGGCTGCTTTCTCCAAGCCAGCAACCAGAAACTCTGAACATGCTGCTATCATCTGGCTGGGTCAAGGAGGAATTTGGGGGAGTGGGTGGAGGAAGATTTTCCCTAGTTCTTGATTCTGGTTTAGATTCCCATTTCCTTTCCCCTTTTTTACCATTGAACTGTTCTGTCATGGAACCAGCCTTGCTGCCTCGTTTGTTGTTTTGTTTTTGTTTTCCTCAGTCCAATGGACCCAAGGGAGTTTTTCCTCAGCCAGTGTTTCCTCAGAAGGAGAAGGCAGATTGGTGCTGCTTAGGATGGTGCAGAAGGCTGTGTGCCTGCTCTGACTTGATGTTACGTGACAGATGCTGCTTTGGGGTTGGGGATAAACTGGTTGGGCTGGGATTTGTGTGTCACCAGCATGGGGCAATATATTCAAGGAAGGACAGGGAAGTCCCTCAGCAGCCAAACTTGGTTGAAAGAGGGACTTGATGTCCCTGCAGAATGACTCCAAACGAGCTGGAGCCATGCTGGTGACAATTCATCACTTTCCTGGCCATGTTATCATTTTCATGTCTTTATCCATTTCAAGAAACTGGCTCTGCTTTGATTGCTGTTGTGTCCCCTGCAACAGAAGAGGTGGGGGGATCTTCCTCCCTTCTCCAGAGCTGGAACTGGCAAATCTTGACTCTGGGGTTAAGTGTGAGCTGGCGAAAAAAGGCCAACAAAAGGCTTAGTTCACTTCTAACCATCAGGAAAGAAATTGGGGTAAGAACAGTATTTCCTGGTGGACAGGGCTCTGGAGTTCATAACAAAACTCTTCTGGCATGGGCAGCTTGGGTGGTCCAGGAAGTAACAGATGCTGGCTGGGAGGTGCAAGATCAAAAGATGGCTCTGGGGATACTGGAACTCCTAATCTTCCTGCCACTAAAGTCTCTGGTCTTTGGGCAAATCATTTCTCTCTGTGCTTCACAAAGCAGTGATCACAAACCTTTACTGTAACTGAAGGATAGGGGATGGTAGAGCAAGGTGAAATAGGAATCCAGTGTAGTGATCACTGCTCAGGGAATGGTCACCTTCCAGCAGTCAGCAGTGACTCTGAATTGCTAAAAGTACCTGCACTTATAGACCTTTTGTTTGTCTAAATTGGAAATGAACCTGAGGACTTGGCACCTCAGTGAGCAGGGACAGAATGAGGAATTCCTTGGAACAAATGTCTTAGAGCCCAGCGTGGCAGAGGGAAAAGAGGAATGTGCAGCCCAGCTCAGTGAACTTCAGGGCAAACACTCCAAGTATTCAAACCACAGTATTTGATGCAGACCAGCATCCATCCTGGACACTGGTGAGGTGAGGGGTTGGTTGTGCACATCCTGCTGGCCAGAAGCACCTTGAGTGATTATTTTTCAGATTGGAGTTCCCTGGAGACCACAAATGCTGCCCTGAGCGTAGTGTCTGGGGCTGCATCACCACCCAGAGCTCAGTATTAAAGACCAGGCTGTTCCAGACTCCTGTTTGGCAGGGCACAGAAGCTGGGCCTCCTATTAAGATGCCAGTATTTGACTCTAATAAGCTGTGATGTCCCTTTCCCAAAGGACTGAGGGCAGATGGGTGTTCAGGGCTGGCTTCCTGACTCCAGGCAGTGCCTTGGAAGGTGCATGCAAACTGACACTAAAACTCCTCCATGCAGTGTATCCCTGGAAATCTGCTGCCACCACTCCTCCCCATCCCGCTGCTCCACGGGAAGTGTTCTGTTCCCCTTTTGTTTTTATGTTGCAAGATTTCCACCGAATTCAGGGCAGTTTTGTTTCCTTAGGGGCACCTGCTGCCCTGATAAAGTGTTACACTTGTGTTTACCTGTGCAAGGTGAGGTGAAGGCAAGTCTTCCACAGTCCCCCTCGAGGGGTGGGAGGTGTGGAGAGAGCACCTTTCCGTGGTGTTTCCCACTAAGCTGTGATTGCAGGCTGTGGTGTTCAACAAAGAGGTCCTTTCTTCTCAGAGGTATTAGCTTTTAATGTGAAAATGGAGGTGGCCTCAGAGGGGCAAAGAGAATGGCTGTTTTTGTCACGGTGGGAAGTTTGTGCCATACTCGTGTAGCAAAGGCAATACTGGCAACCAGTGTGAGGGCTGGTGCAGGAGAGCTTTGGATCCCAGCAAGAGGCATTTTCTGTGTTGAGATGTGGGGGTTTCTGCTTATCTGAGGTTGGTTGGGATTTCCTTCTTGTGCAACAGCAAAAGCTTTACCCATATCCACTGGAGAGCTGTCCCCACTGTCACTTCAGCCTGATGTTGGAGTCACATCATGTCCACTCATGATGGGTGAATGTTTGCTGGGTTTTGCTTTAGTGAAGGTGGAGAAGGAGATTTGGGAGAAAGTCTTCCCTGAGCACACACACACACACTTATGCATTTTATGTCCCCTCAGCATAGGGACCACAACCAAACACAGTCACGGGGACAGGAGTGGGATCAGAGGGGACACATCCACAGCCATGAACTTCCCCTGTGGTGTTTGTGACAGCTTTGGTACAGCTCTTCCTTCCTAACCAGCTGTGGGATTCCCTCCAACCTCTTTGCAGAAAATAGCAGTAACTTGCTGGGGTTCAATTAAAAAAAAGAAAAGAGTTTTTCAGCCTGACCTCTTTGGAAATGGTGTAAAGTTACGAGTTCACATGGTGGAAATCCTGCAGACCAAAACTTGCTGTGGGGACAGGCGATGTGGTCCCAACCAAAATGGACATGGAACCGAGTGCTGAAGTCCTTGTGTGAATGGTTTGTGATCCACACAAAAATATTTTTCTGCTTTCACCCGTTTCCTCCCCACCTCTGCCTCCCCTCTGGGGAGAGAAGGACTCTTACTGTAAAAATACGGACTTTTAAACCTGTTGACTAAAAACAGTAATTAATATTAATTTATATTTGTGAAAGAAATGCCACTGTCCTAGTGATTTCTGATGTAAATATGTTGTTTATATAGTATGTATGAAATTTTCCTACATTGTAAAACTGCTGTACTTTTGATTCTTGTATATTAAAAAGTGTTACTGAGATTTTCAGAAGGGCCCCAGCGTGGTGTCTCTGGGGGCTGCTTTGGGATCACTCAGGGCCCTTTCCTGCCAGCCACAGCCAAGCTACCAAGGATATTTTCACTGTGCAGGAATAAGCATGTTCTGCTTGGCTGTTTTTACATAGTTTCACAGTCTGTGCTGATAGAGACTTGGAAGCTTCTTCAGATGGGAATTTCCACCTGATCAGAAGGAGCTGTAAATTCTCTAACCCAGACCCACCAGGATTTCACTGGGATGATACTGATGATTATGTTTATCCCACCCCCAGGTTTTATGGATCTCTGAGGATGTGTAAATTTCTTTTTTACCTTTTCTGGGGAGAATTCCCCTTTCTCTAGGAGAAGTGTTGCTGCTGCTGCATCAGTGAGTTCTCCTGTCTGTCCCCAGCCCCTCCTGGGCAGGATGTGCCTCTCCAGGTGGGATGTGATGGCATCCAGTGGCTGCTTTGGTTTGGTCTTTACCCTGCACTGCTCACACTGAGGCCCACACAGAGCAGGGATTGGAGCCGTTTCTCCCAAGTTATAAAAGCTCATTGTAAAAAGCACTTTTCACACCTGTAGCCACTGGGTCCAGCCCTTCCCAGGCTCTCTGCTGCTGAGCCAAGTTTCAGCCGAGAGTGAAATTTCACAGCTGAGTTATATGCTCCTGAAAAATGGATTTCCTAATGGAAAGAGTGACTGGCTGTTGGCCATGGGGCTCAGCTGCAGGGAGGCACAGGGGCTCAGGCAGCTGGGCTGGCTGTACGTGCCTGGGTCAATCTACCTGAGGCCAGTGACTTTTTAAACGTTTTTATTTTGATTTAAGCAGGCAGGTAAGGATGTGAGCACCCTGATGCTGCCAGGTGTCTCCCCCAGCCCGGCCTTGCACCCACCCCAGTGAGGGGACAGGGCTGTGCTTTACAGAGGGGCAGACCCTCTAGAGGGAGCCGGTTCCTAGCAAAAAGCTGATTTTTGGTGAAAAACATCACTCTGCAGTTGTGGCTGCTCCTGCACAGTTGGTCCTGCCTCACCCCAAGCACTCAGAGCCCAGGACAGTGGCCAAAGGCCAGGGCATGGGCAGGCACAGCCAAAGTGGGGCTGGAAACCCACCCCAAGCCCCTGGTGGTGGCACTTGAGCTGCTGTCCAACGCAGAGTGATGGGATGGGACCCTGGATCCCCCAGGGGCTGCCTCCTCACCAGCCCTCAACATGAACTTCTCCCAGGTGCCACAAGGCCACCACTGCCACCACCAATGTCCCTGCACATCCCCACTTAGCTCCTGGGGATGATTTACTGTCTTGTGTGGTTAATGGGGATGAGCATCCTTGTGTCTTGGTGGTCACATCAGCACTTTGTCCCACTGGAACATGCAGGGGCTGCCTGCTCACTGTTCCAGGCTGGACAGCAGGGCACCATTGGTGACCTCCTAGCAGAACAGTGAGGGAGACCCCAGGCCCCTGCACTCTGGGCACTTTGTAGATGAATTTTCAGATTTAGCCACTTCTCCCATGCAAGGAGTGGCAGAGGGAGCGGATTTGGCTCTTCCCAAAATGCTGCCAGTTCTCTGGGCTTTGAAGGAGGGGAAAGCCAGATGTCAATCACATCTCTGGTGCTGGGCATCACTGCATGGATTCATCCATATCCATGTGTTCTGAGCTGGTGTGGGTGTCCCACCTGCCCTCAGCATCTCCCTGTCCCCAGCTGCTGGGACAATGAGTCCCTTCAGATTTCAAAACCGGAAAATTGAACAGGAGAAAAAAAATGCAATTTCGTTTTTCCTCATTAGAGGGCAGCAACAAACCCAGCTGGGACAGGAGAGCTGCCCAACAAAGGGAGGAATTACCATTACCATTACTAGGATGCACACCCCAATCTGCTGTGGTGAGCAGGGAGGGGTGGTGATACCCACTGGGACCCCATTGCTGCACATTTCCCCTCCCAGAGAAGCAGGGCTGTAATGGTCGATTACTCCCATATATAAATTTTTTTTTCACCCCCATCCCCTTTTTAATTTTATCATTTGGTTGTAGATTAATCGAACTCCAGAGTGCAATTCTCAGTAGGATTCAGGACAGAAATGAGCTGTCAGAGGGTCCTTCAGGTGGAAGAAAGCTGCTTTGGAGTGAGTGCAGAAATGGGGCAACACTTCATCCTGAGTGGGGAACAGCACCAGGCAACACACACGGGGAACAAAGCAAGACCCACTCGTTTATTGTCAAAAAAACCTCAAACTTTACTTGTGTTTCTCTCAATAAATAATTTACAGTATTTACAGGCGGTGACACTCCCGTGGGTCTCAGCACAGGGAGGAGCTGGGGGGCATTTTCAGCATGTCCCCCCTTTGCCTATGTATTTTTTTGTTTTATTTGTTTCCAAGTATCGGGTCCTTCTTGGCCACACTTCACCTTTAACCAGAACTGGGTCAAACACAACCAAAATAAAGTGCTTCACTGTTTGCTTCTAAAACAGGGATACCCCAACAACCACCTCACACCACCAGCCACCACTGGAGCACCCACCTGGACAGAGGGAATGAACCAAGCCATAACCAGACTTTCCTTGGATGGAAACTGTCCCCAAACCACAGCGTGCCATGCTGTTGGGTGATTGTTTTATAGGAAGGGGAGCTCTTAAGGGGATTATTGACCTGTTGGCACACTGTGGCTGGGCCAGCTCAGGCAACTTTAAAGCAGCACTGTGTGCTCAGAGGGAGGCTGTGCACAGCTGCATTTAGCTTGGGATAAATCTCTTCTTTGCCCAGAGACAGATTTCGTATTTTAAAAGTTTTAAGGAAGTTAAAAACTTTTAAAACTGAGTTTTAAACTTTTAAGGAAGATAAAAATTAGTTTTCTCCAGAACAAAGGGAACAGAAAGTCCAAATCAGCCTGGCTGAGCATTAGTGCATTAGGAAATGAAACTGTCCAGTGCTGTGGTCCAGTGGCTGCTCCCCTCAGCACCTCCAAACTTTGATATCCTTATTTCAAAATCTCCCTAAACAGAGTATCTGGGGCATCAGCAAACAAAGCAAGGAGCAAAGTAGTAAACACATCTTTTTGTTTCTTTTCTTTCCTTAAACATTTAAAAACCAATTACATCTTTTCATCTGTACAGTCACACGAAATCAATGCCAGGGCTCTATATATTAAAGAGACAATATAAATTACATCAATTGACACAAGTTTGCATTTCTCTGCTGCTTTACAAATGGAGCTCTAGAGCTGTAAGGACACAATGAATAGTCACGTTCAGTATTTACACCAGGCTGCCTCTTGGCACCAGTTCAGACTGCCAAACCAAGCCTGTTCCCACCTCTTTTGGTGCTAGCTTGTCTCATCACGCCCACAGACCTCCCTTTTGAGAGCAGGAGGTGCCCCAAGTGTGATGTGTGTTTTGGGGCTTGTTTCTGGGAACTTCCCCCTGAGGAAAGGTGGGGGAAACCCACCAGGAGGTCTTGAAGGCGCAGACCAAAGGTGGTCCTGATGTTTGTTCAGTGAGCCATGGGGTGAACCACAGAGGAACACGGAGTGGAGGAGATGGGCAGCACTACGTGGTGGGGGAAGGAGATTATGGATGGTTTTGAGGCAGGGAACAGACATCAGGAGGCAGCTGGGGGGGGTCCTCTGCTGCATCCCATCTCCTGGCTGAATTCTGACATTGCCCCATTTCTGATTCAAGCCCTCAAGGGCTTAAGGTGCAACTGGTCTGCAATGGGGTTGCAAGTCGCGGCCCCAGGATGGGGAGCAGAGCAGAGACCTAGCAGCAAAAATAAAGAGCACCACGCTCCTGCTCCATCCCAGGGCTGGGCCACAGGCAGGGAGGGGCTGGAGGGAGGTGCAGTTGGGTCTCCCACTGAGCAGCCACCCTGCTGCCAGCGTCAGGGGACCAGGGAGTGACCAGGGTGTGAGGAACTCATCCAATGCTGGGCAGAAGTTGCAGAAACCCCTTGAATACTGGCCAGGTTTCTCCCGTTGCCATCAAGAGTCCATGGTGGGTCCAGGCAGAGACAAGGGAGACAGGAGTCAAACTACTGAGTGAAATCAGCCAGGTGAACTGACTAAAACAGGGGAGGCCTTTGAACCACAAAAAATGCAGGCCAAGGCTTGAGGAACGTGTCCTCCTTCCACCCAGAAGGTGCCTGGCACCACCAGCCAAGCAAGCGTGGGATCACTGCCCACCATTTTGGCCCCTTGCAGCACCTTCTGCAACAGCAGGGCTGGGCAGAGCAGGAAAAACAGAGCCCAGCCCTGATGGCAGGACATCCTGCCCTGCTGTGCTGGTCCTGTCTCACTGCTCCGTGCCCTCCTCGTGGGCTCTGCTCTCTGAAGACAAAGCCACGTTCACACACGCCAGTGTCACAGTCACCATGTGCACGGCTGGGACCAGGGGAGTGCTACAAGGGCTCCCCAGCACTCCCTCAAACGGCAGCAGGAGGAGGAGGAAGTGAGCAAGGTCCAGACAAGGTACAGTCCAGCAAAAACTCCTGTCTGGTCCCACTGGCAGCATATTCCTCCCAGGCAAGAGCTGGGAAGGTGGAGGACTTGCACCAAGAGAGAGACTGAGTTAAGGACAACCCATGTGGCTCTGATGTCCAACCTCTCGTTTTCCAGCACCTGCATCTCATCTCTGGCTGCCTCCTGCTCCCCTTTCCCTTCTCTCCAAGTTTTGAAGGAGCAAACCTCTATAACAAGCACAGCCAACACAAACACAGCAGTGCTACCCAGAGAGCGGGATGCGTTCCCGTGGGCGCCATGTTGCCCGGGCTCAGCACCCGTGTCCTTTCATAGAGGTGCAACTTGTCCTTGTTGGAGTGAAGCATCTTCACGTCCTCAAAGGCATAGTAAGCAGCCAGCATGAAGTTGACATCCCCCGTGGTGAGGAGGTCAAAGACACAGGACTGGAAGTAGAGGTCCTCCACGGGCAGCTTCTCCCTGCACTTGGCCGTGGCCGTCTCGTAGGTGAAGGCCTCGGGCGGGGCGGGCAGGCTGGGCCCCTTCCTGCGGGCCCGGCCCTCCGTGGCCTGGGCCGAGCGCACGGCCTGGAAGTCAATCTGCTGGTTGGCTGGGCAGCCACGGAGGCACAGGTAGAGGCCCTGGCTGTCCCTGTCCTCCACGGCGTTGACCACCTCCTCTGGCATGCGCACGGCGAAGGTGAGGTAGCGGCCCACCTGCCTCACCACGATGGTGGTGCCGATGTACTTGGCCTGGATCTCGATGTGCTGGCCCGACACCTTCTCCGTGATCTTCAGGCTGTTGGCCCCGTGCTTGTCCCCTCCGTTCTTGGAGCCGTCGACGAAGGCGGCGGGGAGCTCGTCCATCTCTGCCTGGTACACCTTCTGCTCCACACACTCCTGGAAGCTCTTGAAGATGATGGTGAGCTGTGGGGGAGGAATGGAGCATGGTTACAGCCAGTGATGACCACCTGAGAGCAGCCAGCAGTCGGGTGGGAGCTGGAAGGGCTGGAGGCTCACTCCAACATGACCTTCAGTTTCACAGTCCTTCACCCTAAGAAGCAGCCCTGACTTTCAGCCTCTCAGACATGGTGATCCTGTCCAGCCAAAGGGTGAGAACACTGTGCAGAGATCTAAGACCCAGAGGTTCGACTGAATGCACCACCTGGATCTGCCTGTTATCTCCAGGCCCAGAACAGGAGCCTCACCTTCAGGTTCACAGTCCTTCATCCTAAGAAGTGGCCCTGACTTTCAGCCCCCCAGACATGGTGATCATGCTCTAGCCAAAGGATGAGAATGCTATCTAGATATCTAAGACCCAGAGGCTCGACTGAATGCACCACCTGGATCTGCCTGTTATCTCCAGGCCCAGCAGAGGAGCTTCCTTGCAGCTGGAGCTGGGTGGAGTATCCCTGCTCACAGGCCTGTGGCAGCATGCCCGTGCACGCAGCACTGCCTCGCCTCCAGGGCTGGCAGATGGCAGCAGGGACGAGCCCTGACTCCCTTGGAGGCGGTGGAGCTTCTCTTCTGACTCCCATGACATTTACATCCCAAGGGCTGGACCAATTTGTTTCCCTAACCAAGTGCAGACCAATGGGATTTCTCCCATGGGCCCTCAAACACGTCCTGCTCCATCTCAGCCCCACAGGCACACATGTGCTCAGCCTGTGGGGTGGCCCTTCTAGGGGTGACTTCAGGGTGGCCTTGACACTGCTGGGTTAATGGTTGGACTCGATCTTAAGAGGTTTTCCCCAGCCTTAATGAATCTGTGATTCTATGACACAAACATAGCCCAACATGCCTCCTCACCCCTGGCTGGGCTCAAACACAGGCCCCTTCCAGAGGAAGGACCTCACAGTGCTTGCTCTTCCCTTGCTGGCCTGGCTTTTGGAAGGAAGACTTGGGGAGGAAAATGAGTAGAATTTGCATGTGCAAACAGTACAAACTACATTTCCTCTTCCAGCTCTTGCAGATTTGCTCTTGCACCTTTCTGCCCGTGAGGGAGAAGACGCAAAGGGGATCTCCTGCCATGTGGGCCCTGTGAATGGGGAGACTGAGACCTGGCCAGAGTGGGGTGGGGCTGGAGAAGAGAGCAGAGAACACACAGAGCCCCAAGGACTGAGTGCTCCCATGGTTTCCAGCAGCACAGTGCCCACAGCAGTGCTTCCCACACTCACGCTGCAGATCTCATGACTGATCCCTCCTCACCACAAGCCTCTGAGGCAGATAAGAAGAGAAAAGCTCAATTAAGATGGTGATCCTGCAATCCCAGCAGGTCCTGGGATCCTTAAGGACCACTTTCCTCAAGGCAGACTTCCTTGCAACCTTCAGCAGGTTTTGATGTGTTTTAGTAGGTAAGGACATCAGCTAAGTATCTTTTAGGGGGTTTATCTGGGACAGGTCAGAACCTCACTGCCAGTTCCAGCTCAGGATAAAGGGGGTGACATGACAGCAGAGAAGCAGCCCCTGTTCTACACGTGCTTCTCTCCTCTCCCCACACACAGGGAGAAGCAGAATTCCCAGACATGGTGGGACAGGACATTTTCCAAAAGCAAGAGCATGACTCCTGCTGAGCCTCCCTCCTCTTTAGCACAAAAAGTGCCCTGTTAGCTTTAGAGCTTTAGCATGAGGGGCAGCACACCAGCTCCTCAGCTCCAGGTCCCTCCTGAAGCTGAGCCTGTGACACACAAGTCCTGCTGTATCACAGCAGCACATTTTCCCTTGGGCTCTCTGTGTCTGCCTTGTACCTTCAGGATGTTTATTTAGTCTGTCAAAGCACCTCCAGTACAGACTGTTCCCCACAATATGTCTTGACTTGGCTGCAAACCACAGAGACAATTACAAGCCTGGCTAGAGGGGAAGGCAGCGTGAGGAGCTCAGCTCCCTCCAGGCTTTTCCTGCAAACTGCAGCTTCCCTGGAGAGCAGTCCTGGGGTTTGCTTGGGCCTTGGGTCCTCCAAGAGGTGCCAGCATCATTCCTGATGTGGCTGTTCACAGCAATCACATGGTGGGAGTCCTCTTAATTTGCAATACCTGGCTTGGCCATGAAGGCCCCCTGAGGTCCAGCACCTGCACCTCAGCCTGCTCGCTGCGATGGGGCTGGATGTGCTCAACAAGAACCACATTTCAGTGAAGGCTGGGGACAAACAAAGGATGGATATTGAGGGACAGACATTCAAATTCAGAGGAGCTCATGCTCTGTCTTACCCTCCCCAAGCAGATGTGGAAATGGAGGAAGACACAGAGGAAAGAAAGGCTGCTCTGAAGCCTCTCTGCCTTCGCCCACCTCTGCCCAGGGGGACAAGGCTCACCTTGCTGGTGGCGGTGGCCGAGGAGCCGGGCAGCACGGGCGTATTGGTGACCTGCACGTTCAGGTAGTTATTGTCTATGAGCGGCCAAGCCCCCTGCACCTTGCAGGTCTGGAAAGTGTCCGTGAAAGTCCTGAGGTGGGGGTCCCCAAAGAGGCCGCAGTGGGTGTAGTTGGGGGCGGCCGAGTGCTTGTGGAAGCTCTTCTCGTAGTGGCAGATCTCGGGGCTGTCGGAGCGCTCCTGGCTGTCCCCGGGGGGCAATGTCCGGAGGCGGGGCTGGGATGTGGGGCCATCCTTGGAGCAGTTGTGCTGCACCATGAGATCGTCTATGCCATGCACGGCCGAGTGGTAGGCCAGGTCTCCCCTGCAGGTGCGGGCGGTGCGGCGCGTGCAGTGCGCGTAGGCCCGCAGCGCCGTGCAGAACTCGGGCGCCTCCTCCGCGCCCAGGTGGTGCGAGCCCGACGTGGCCGCCCAGAACTCAGAGTTGCACTTGAGGATCTTGCATGAGGATGTCACTGTGGGAGGGCAAGAGACACAAGGGGGTCAGTGCTGGCTTGCCCAACTCTAGCCCGTCCTGAGGCCGCGTCCTCCTCCCGCTGCCCAAACTCATGACACCGGCCCGGCCGCGTGATGGGGCCTCGCTCACCAGACGTGACCCTCTCACATGACCCAACTCTCATGCATCAAAGCCGAAGAAACCAACAGGATCTGCCCCAATTGAAGCAAAAAAGGGAAAGAACATGCAGCCTTTAGATGAATGATCATGGGGGGAAACCATGGTGTGGAAGAATGGGATATATTCATAAGCAGTGATAAGGGAGGATCATTAATGCAATGGGGTTTTTAATGCCCTTTTAGGGTTTGACATTCTAAGCTCTGTGCTGCTTGAGTTTCTGGGCACTGTGTTCCAGACTGATCTCTACCAGCACAAAGTTCTCTCACTTTTCCTCCTTTATGAGCTTGGGAAAACAGAGCAGCATCACAAGCACTGTGCCCAGATTAGAGCAGGACCAGTACCACGACCCACCCTGCAGCACAGCCAGAAGCCATCCATCATCACCAGAGCGGTGACGCTGCAGCGCTGATCCCTGTGCCTCTGTAAAGAAACAGGAGCCAAAAAACCTCTTTCTTGACATCTGTGCGGCTCTGCCCAGCCCTGGGAGCCTGTTCCCCACCACGGCCCGCTGAGAGAGAACAAGAGGTGGAGGAGAAAAACCGGCACAGCAGGTGCAGGGATGCCAGTGAGCCCCCGCCTTGCCTTCCCTTCCCACCCGCCGCGCGCTGCCCAGGCGGAGCAAAGCCAGAGGCTGCAGGGCCTTTGCCGGGCTCAGCCGCAGCCCTGGTGCTTCCTGGCAAGGCAGAGGAAGGCAAAGAAAATTCAGATCCTGCTTCTCCCCCCCACACAAACGTCTGCTCCCTGGGGCAGTGTGGCTTCCCCAGAGCAGACTTGAAAGCAGCTGTGCGAAAAGCACATGGCCATCGCTGAATGTCGCAGACGCTGCTCTGGCCCTGCCAATTTGGAGTCTTGCTGGGTGAACCCAGGCTCACACTACTTAAAATTCATGGCGTTTTCCTTCCTCTCCTCTTAATCGACCCCCTTGTAGTGCTTGGAAACAGGATGGGTTCAGGCAGAAAAGGCAGCAGGAGGAGGAGAAGACAAGCCCCACCATTTCCAGATGCTTTCATGGTGCCTTTTGCAGGCGTACCCATATATTCCTGTCTTGGGGCTTGTTTAGAAGGAGCTTGGCAGGGCATCCGTGCCAAAAGTATCTCAGATTTGTTTAAAAAGAAAGTTACAAAACCCAGTATTGTTTCAGAGAAAACAGTATGTTTGAGTTTTAAACATTACAGTGCTGGAAACCTAAACAGAGTTGGTGCTGGAAAATCAGAAAGGGAGACTTAAGACTATAAAACACTGAGCAGTTTGCTGGTGAGAAATAAGCCAGTCTCCTCTCTGTTTTGAAGAAGACTGAAGTGCAAATAGGAAATGGTGACAGGTTCCTCACAGTTTTAAAATTCATGTTTAATAAACTCAGATGCTAGCAACAGCACCGAGAACCCGGGAGCTGTTTGGTCTTGGCAGCATCCCACTTAAACCTGCAAGAAGCTCTGTGGAAAGCCTTTAACTCATCATTGACCAGAGGTGACTCAACAACAAGGTTCTGACCTGGGACATGGGCTTATTCTTCTGCATGTAGGGGTCAAATTTAAAGATATTTATTATTTCACATCCCTCTCTTGTTCATGCCAGGAGTGTGGTTTTCCAGGACTGTCATAATGGAAGGCAGGAGTCAAAACAGCACGGCAGGAGTGTGACCAGTGCCACCACTGCTGGTTATCCCAAACCCTTGTGGCATCAGGCAATTAAAGTCATTGCTCTCCTAGTTGTTATGTTAATGTGCAGCTTGAGGATGCCTTGGGGTTCCGTGTGGCAGAAAGTGCTGTCACTGCAGCCCCAGGAGAAGCTGGAGGACACATCCCTGGACACGCAGGAGCCACACACACCCCACAGCTCAGCAAGGCACCAGGATGCACTACACAAAGCATCCCATCGTCCCGGGAGCACCTTGCAGAGCACTTAGCCTGCTCCAGCCCTTCAGCTGCTGTGTAGAGAGGATTTTTTTAGTAGGAACAAACCCACTGCCTCTTGCTCTTTAAGGGCTTGCTTCACTTGCTTGGATGAGGAGATGCAGACCAGATAGAGAGGACCCAGTTGAACAGCCCCCCACATCCAGCTGAGCATCCCCCCGTGCTGCCCTGCCGGGGGTCACACATGACTTTATAAGGTCCTGAATTAAAAAGCCCCCAGCGAAGGGAGGGTAGGGAAGCCCATCTCCTTCCTCCCTGCGCCTGAAGGGGGAGCGTTCTGCCCTGCGATGTTATCGCTGCACTTTTGGCACCCAGCCCCTTCTGGCTGTTTCGCTCAGGGCCCCATATAAGGCCAGATCTCCCAATCCAGGTGCCCCGGCGCTGTGTGAGCGGGGCCTGTGTGTGCCTGGCCTTTCCAGGGACACTTCCCCAGCCACCCTCATGGCAAACCCCTCATGCTGCTGGCGAGGGAGCACAGCTGACAAAGGCTGTGGAGGAAAGCGAACACGACCCTCATCCCTCCCAAGCAGCCTTGCCTCGTCGCCTCTGGCAGCAGCTTTGGCACAGTGGTGCAGGCTCATTTGTACCCTGGCCAAGAAACGATGTTTATTCAATTTCGCATAATCTATTTTCCATCGACTCACAATGGTTCTGTTTTTCAACCACAGATGACTTAGCATGGAAACAAATCCCTCTCAAGCAGGAACCTAGGAAGGCTCTCCTGGGGTCTGTGAGACATGCCCAGGTCTGGGTGATTTCTTGTCCATGGCAGAGCAGCCTTCACCTCACACACAGGTGATTTCAACCCCTCCAAGCCACCTCCCAACCCTCCCCACGATCTTCTTTCAAGGCCTTGAAAGGTGCCACTCAAACCAGAGAACAAAATTTCCTTTGTTGTCTCTAAACCGACGGTTTCAGAAAGCTAAAGCCAGAAAAAAAATCAGAAAACCACCTGGACTAGGACAGCCCCCTCCCATTTCCCCCATCTGTTCAGGGACATTTCCCGTAAGGTCTGTGCCCACTGAAAAGCCACTCCGTACCCGGGCAGGCTGTTTCAGGAGTTTATCACCTTCACAAAACACGGGTCTTGGTTCTAAGTGGATTTTATCTGACTTCATCGTAAGGACATAAAAAGAACCAGCGATTTTCTCCAAAGCAGTAAAAGGTCCGTTAGTGACGAGTGTGTTTCCCACAAAGATATTTACACACTGCAATCAAGTCCCTTGTCAATCCTCCAGATAAGCTAAACGGTTTGCACTTTTAAGTTCTCGCTGGAAGGTGTTTGCCCAGCCCCACCATCAGATCTCCCTCCAGCAGCCTTGTTTCCTGCACAACCTGTCACCCCGACAGGACACGGGGATAAAAACACGCTCACAACTCTGCCGAGGTCAGCCCTTTAACCAGGACATCCCATTGAGCAGGCAATGAATGAATTGTGACCTTTTCCTGAGCTCCTGGTTTGGAAAGCCCTGGTTCTCAATTCAACAACATCCCATGGACCACCAAACACGCACTCAGGGCTCTGGGATATCAGATACCCTCATCGTCAGTACATTGCATTACCTGATGTCAAATTAAGTGTTCCAACATATGCACACATCTAACTTTAACAGCATTTAATTATCAGTGCCCCCCTATTCTCCTTTCAGTGGGTGTCAAGTAACCTGGGTTTCATTTACCCAAATTAGGCTCTTACAGAAAACTAGCACAAAACCAACATTTCATCTGTTCTCCTGTAATTCCTGTAACAAAGAGAATTACTGGAAATTAATTTCTGTAAGCAAAAGCCAATTCTTTTAAGACTCCTGAATGCACATTCACCAGACCTGTTAATTTTAAAGTGTTCACTGCTAAGCAATGTTTTTTAATATCCTCTTGGTTCCTAACGGGCTGGAAAGTATTTCATCACCCACATGCGATGCAAATACATCATCCCGCGTTTTTCCAAATACATGGATTGAAGTGTAGATGTGCAAGCCTCACACAGGCAGTAAAGGGCCTTTTTGGAGAACACAGTAAAATGTAATTACCTTTGGCCTCAGATCTGAGCACCCTGACTTAGGCTCCTAAACACATATTTATTTAAGTAATCTAAATAAACATATTTATGCTGACACCTCAATAGGAAAGGCACGATTCTCCAAGGTGCTAAATACCAGCAACATCTGCCAGCTTCAAGGAGATGTGGGCTGCACTGCTCACAGGCAGACAGAAGTCACCACCAGCACGAAAACGAACCCAAAAGTGTTAAAAAAAAAATATAAATCACATTGCTCCTTAAAAACAAGGCACAAGGGACTGCTTCCAGCAAGGTATCAGGAGTTCCCAGCAAAAACTGAGGGAATGAACATTGTGCTTTGTATGCAGCCCCTCATGCTGCTCCTGTCCCAAGGAGTGTCCCCATGAGCCATTCCTCATGGTGGCCATGCTGGACCCACATTTGATGCCCATGAGGGTCGTGAGATTAGATACAAAGAAGGAATTTTTTTACAATTAGGGTGCTGAGACACTGGCAGAAGTTGCCCAGAGAGGCAGTGGGTGCCCCATGCCTGGAGATGGAAGACGTCCTTGCCCATGGAAGGGGGGTTGGACGGGGTGACCTCTAAAGGCCCCTTCCAACCCAAATCATTGTGCGATTCTATTTTATGACACGGATCAGCCGGCGCCTTGTCACACCAGGGAGAGAAAGGAGCGATTGGGGCAGCCCTGATGGATGGGATGTCACGGGCAGGGACAGCTCTCCCGCACCCCACGGGGCACCGCGGGGCGAGCGAGACCCAAGGGCCTCGGTGAAAGGATTTGTGCGGGAAGGCAGCGCCGGGCTCTTCCAGCGACCTCCTTTGAACTGTTAATCAAGCACAATCTTGCAGAATAATAGCCTGGTTATTATTGCCTTGTTTGCATAACAAAGAGGCCCAATAAAACT